ATTAAATTTTTATCATTATTATATATATATATATATATATAATTTGAACCTGACGCCTTATAAGGATTCTTATGGAAAGTAAGCACACAAAATATAGCAACAAAGTTTAGTTTTTAGTAAGTTATGACGATGGCGGATAAAGATTAATGTTAGGAAGATATTTTACAAGAAAACTGAATCTGCCAAATTTGAATCATGCCTTGCTCTACCACCTATATATATAACATCTTCTGAGAATAGTCTGCTTTGAAGCAACAAAATGCAATTTTTGATATTCATTCTACCTAAAAATTAATGAAGAGTTGTATTAGGCGAACTTAACGCTTTGCTTCATCCCAACGTAATATCTTTCCTTGTTTTCCTAATGAAGATAACTTGAAGTAAAAGAATTTATGATGCGTGCGAGTAAGAAAAAACCCGCTAAAGATCATTTCAATTTACGTTATTACGTAAGGTTTTAAATCATTTTCTAATTGTTAAAGTTTAATTATTTGTTGCTTCTGTGAACAAAATCATCACTCACTTCATATTATTGCATATGTTGTTATCTGTAAAGATGTTCACATATGTTGCTGTTGTTCATTTTCTAAGCTTCCTTTAAATATCTTTTGAAAAACGCAATAAAAAGATTGAAACTCTTCGCTACATTTGAATATGAATAATATTTCTTATGACTTGCAAATTCGTTTTGTCACCCATTTCCATGCATTAGCATTCAAAATGAACTCATATGTTGTATGCATTTTTGAACATCAAATATTTCATCTTCATTTTTTTTTTTTTTTTTTTTTGATTCTTTACGTAGAAAATGCATGAACATCTATCTATCTGTATGTGTGAATACCAATGTCTGTGAGCAAATAGCGCCTTTCAATATCGTATTTGCATTCAATGCGCATATATGGAGGTAAAAATAAGGAGAAAAAACTGTGCATTCGCACGCCTAAAAGCGAAATTTTATTCGGTTCATTGTATCTCCTCGAGCAAGGAGGCATTGTGCAAATAAAATCGTTTATGAATCGCATATGATTTTTAAATATTTAAATTTTAATAACTACGATAATCAATTTGATTTATGTTATCCTCGCAGTAAAAAGTATATGTATATGAATTTTCTTACCTTTAAATGTATTCATTTAAAACAAAAATGACGTCATAATCTCTTAAAACTTTCACTTTATGTAATCGCTTATCGCTTACGTGCATCACCTAAGGATGAGGGGTATATTCATTTTGGCAAAACGTTTGCCAATAAAGTACACATACATATTCTTGGTGAGAATCGAATTCTAAATCGTTTTAAGCATGTCCGTCTGTTGGTCCGTATAATATAATGTCTACTCCATAAACATTTTTCTGCTTGCGAATATTAAGCTATCGATTTCAAATTTGGCGAAAATATTGAAAGTTCTTGCATGCCGGATGGCATTGCAAATGGGTTTAAGCACACGCCTACAGTACTACGTAAAATGAGAATACCTCCGTCTTATCGAAAGAAATAAAATATTTGTTATTTGCTTATTACTCATAAACTACAACAGATATATGTACAAACGTTTGAAAGTATATGCTATTGATAATGCTGTAGTATCTATGCAAAATTCGAAAAAATTTACCACGCCTACCATATATAATATATCGTGTATCAAAATTATTTTTTTTTTTTTTTCAATTTCTTTGAAACACATAGTAGCAAACTTCAAAAGGCTCCGCAGAATATACAAAATCTTGGCCAGTATCAAATTTGGAATGCATCTAAGGATGTCGGTCCTTCTCTCCGTCTGCCCAGTTGTGCTGCATATGGGCTTGCCATTCCTCCCGTTCGCAAAAATGAGGAGATCGGCTACAAACTTGCAAAAGAATTTGAAAATGATCCGAACCGATCTCTAATGCAACAAAAAACTTTCCTTTTCGTAATTTTTTGCTTGTTACTCATAAGGTACAACACATACACCATATAAATTTTCATTATTATTCTGAAAGTAGAGAAAATCAGCCGCACTCATCGAACATTATGGAGTAAGAAAATGTCTTTTTTTTAGTCTGTTTTCGGATAACAGTGATAGGTATAAAAGAATCGGGCAAGAGCGAATCTGATTTTCTTCCTTGGCTTAGTTTATTGACTTACGTTATTTCATGTTATGTAAGTTTACATATGACGAAGACGTAAATTTTACATGACTGTTAAAGTCTTAGTTTCATGATTTCTCTTTGCCTTTCCATTCGGCGAAGTTGGTTGCGTTGCAAACAAACGCTAGGCTTTTAACTACGTACGTCATAAACTGTAAATTCTCTTATATTCATTTTTGAAATAATCCGCACTAACACTAACATGTTCTACATAGTTTTTTTTAAGTCATATTAGTCATTTGCTGTATTCGATGCGAGTGCTCTTTTATGTTTTGAAATTCAATATAAAACTTAACCGTTCTTCCTACCACTTCGGTAATCATTTATATTCAACGAAATCCTAATCTATACTGTTTTCTTATCATCCACTACAGCTGGTACCGGTTAATATTGCAATCTGTAGGGTATTAACTTTACCATGCGATGTAATCTTACAGTACTTAGTACTTTCCCTAGTTTTTCTAAGAAGAGGTGATCTGAAAATTAACCGTTAAGTTGAAATTGTATAATTAAAATCCACGCCTTTGTCCGTTTATGCCTTTAGTATTTATCTTAAGGCTGGTGAGCTAGTAGGGCTCCTTCATACTTACACAGGTACGATCGAAAAGAGGGGTAATCGTGATCGTTACTTTCAGTGAACTCCGCTTCTCGAAAGGGTTGCCGTTGTCACATACCAAAATAATCATAATCGAAGTTCGAGCTGAGGCGCTACCCTATCGATTCCACAATATTGCCTGCTTGCTAAGCTTACCTTAATCTATGCTAAATACGTAGACATACAGCTAAGAAAAAATGTGTGGCAAATTTATAGCCTCGCTTTAGTCCTCATAATATTTTCAGAAATTATTTGATTATTGTTGTATGGACAATTTGCTTTTATTACTTCTGTGCCACATGTTGCTTATATCTATGCATATATAATAGGTTATGTTAAAAATTCTCAGCCTTTATATCGGTCAACATTCACCTGACTATCTAAAACGAACATGTGTTTTAAAGGTGACGTTTCAGCTTACATTTCTTGTGCGGATAGTTTTCTAATTCTTTGCTGGTGTAAAAAGTGACATTGATTTGAAAATGAGTGAAATATCTGAAGATATTTAATAAAAAGTATAATATGTATAATAATATGTATATGTGTAGATTAGATTGCAAGTACGTGTTTTATTTTCTCGAATTTTTATTGATAAAAAAATTAATAATGGATTCCCTTGATCACAGTTCTAGAAACTAAACATGTCTGCTGCATATCGATATGCAGGATTCCTTTCTCTTGAAGTACAGTAAGGAAAACTTAAACTTCCAGCCTGATCCAAATGTCGCCATTCGGAACGTGGCATCGAAAGTTAGAAGACTGCCCAACAAATCATGGCATTAGGTTTAGTACTCTTCCAAAGTCTACTGAGTTGCAGTGATCATCCACATTTCTCTTCCTTTACTCCCCATACAGATAAACATACTTGTGTATGAAAATCGTTTTTAATTCAAATAGTTTTTCTAAAGTAAAAGCAACCTCTACTCTACTCTATTACAAATGGCTGGATATATTTTTGAATCTTTACTTGTTCGATCTCTCACTGAGTTCCATTAAGGCTGCTAATGGTGGGATTCCACAGATATGCTGCTAGCATCCTGCCTGTTCCTTTAAAATATGTGCAAACAGTGGCTTCATTCACTCTTACAATTTAATGAATCCATTTACTTTTTATTGCGTTTTTCACTTCCTTTGCTAATAGTACTTTGTTGTACTATGTAAATGCATTATGCCGGTCAGTGCTTGTTCGCACAATATTTACAATGGTCATTAAAGTACTTAACTCGTAAGCGTATTATTCGCGACATGTGGTGATGTCTATTACTTAGCTACTGATATCTTCTTCTTACTTATAGTTTCATTCACGGAGATTGTGTATTGATTGATACTTTCTATATGTAGCTGAAAAGACTAAAACAAATCTTTCGCGCAGAGGATCTTTTCGAAGCACTTATCCAGGCAGGCTAGAAATTCATGGGTATATACCGTTGATAGCATCGATCATTTGGTCCAACATGGACGATGTATTGAATTACATCTTAAAATATAAATACTTCTTGTATGTAGCTGAAAAGAATAAATAAATCTTTCCCGAAGAGGATCTTGGTGGTTACAGTACCCTTAATAGAATCGGTCAGTTCAACATTGACGATGTATTTAATTACATTTTAAAATATAGAAAAGCGGATATATAGTGCATTTTGATCACCTGAATTCACCTTAATATTTCTTATATTAACTATGCTATGACAATTCGCTTTGACCTTTTGCAGCACCGTTTGAAGACAATGCTCTTTTGCGTGCATACAAAATTAATTCTTTTTTCTCTTATGGTTCATTTATACAATCTACGACTCTTTTAACGAAGCACTGAATAAAACTTTTCAACATATTTTCTTCTTCATCTTCATCTTCTTTTTATTCTTTTTCTTCTTCTTCTTATTGTCGTAATGTTTACTTATATTTATTTAAGTTTCATTTGTTTTACTTTCTCACTTAAATTAACTCCTTAGGGGTGCAAAATAATTTCATTTGCAAGTTTCGTCATTAGTTCGGTATATGAAAAAGAGAGCAACATTGCAATGAAGATAGTGTAGAGTGAAGAGGATGTTGTGTGTGTGTGTGTGTGTGCGCAATGAGTTGACATTTAAAACTTTATTCAAGATGAAGTGAAAGAAAATAATTTTTTTTTTTTTGTTCTTTCTTTTTCTACCAAAGGCTAAGTTGTTGTTGGGCTAATTATAAATAAATTACTTGATGTGTTCATATTCCTTTTCTTTTCCTTAAATTGTAAATGAAATAAAAAATGCTTTTCTTTTTTGGTTTGTCATTGCAGGACCACCGGTTATGGCCGAGTCTATACAGGGCACTATAGCCCGACTGCCTTGTAATGTGACCCCACCGCTTTTGGATGATCGCGTGGCCTTAGTTATTTGGTATAAAGTAGGCTCAAAGACACCCATCTACAGGTAAGTTTGTTTTCTTATTCATACGATGACCATTTTATATATATATATATATATATATATATATGTGTGTAATCGTTGAAAGCTTATAACAAAGTCCTTTGTGGAGCTTATTCCATTTTTCTTTTCACTTCCGGCTTTTCTATTCATTTCTCTTTTATTGTGACCGTTTTATTGTTTTTGTTGGCTTTTCATTAATTTGTCAATGGCAAAGCACTGCACTTACCAGTAAATAATGACAAAGTCTAGAAACTTCAAAGCATTACTTCATCTTCTCTTTCTCTCTCTCTCTCTCTCTCTCTCTCTCTCTGTGTTTATGTGTTTTTTAGTATCTTGCTAATGAGCTGCAAAACTATTTTCAAGTTGTTTATTTAGCTGACTGGTTGACTGGTTTACTGGTCAACAAACTCCTCTTTATCTCCTTTACTCGCAGCTCTTTCGTGAAATCTTTCATTATTACATATATTTGTCAAGAGCCTTTACTTACTTTGATAAGGTTGATAATGATAATAACAAGAGCAACAGCAACAAGAAGAAAATAACGACAACAACGACAACAACGACAACAACGATAATGTCCGACACTTCATTGCAGTTTTATAGTAAATGAAAAACTGTCTTTTAACAACCACTAGCATAGCACCAACAATGACTTAAACAACCCCTCGCCGATGAAATGACAATAAATTACAATTAAATCAGTAACGCTCGTCTACGCTATAATGAGACGATACAGCTGTACGAGTACACTGTATACTGGAGTTTTCATCTAAAAAACAAAAAAATAAATAAATAAAATAAAACTCTTTTTACTTTGAACTTTTCTCCCTTTCCTTCTTTCCTCTTGATTTACGCTTTTGCGTTAACTACATTCATACTTTGCTATAAACTTTTTTTTTTTTTTTTTTTGGTTTGGTTCAGTTTGCCTTTAGTTATAAAAAAATTTTTTCTCATTAAATTTTCTTTTACTATTTTTCTTTTGTTTTTTTTTTTGTAGTGTCGATACACGCGAGTCCAATTTTTCCCATGGTACTCATTGGTCAGACGAAGCATATCGTGAACGTTTGTCATTTACTTTGGAAGGTCGCACGGGGACATTGGCAATTAAAACGACACATCAAGAGGATACCGGCGAATATAGATGTCGCGTAGATTTCCAGAAGAGTCCGACACGTAATTCAAAAGTCAATTTAACGGTTATCAGTAAGTATCAATAACAGAGAACGAAAATAAAACAAAACAGAAAAAATCAAAAACTTTAAAGAGCACTCTAGTTTTATTAAATGGAAATTTAATAGAAACAAAGGTAAAATGAAAATTGGTAGAAAAGCGCGTAAGAGAGCGCCTTACCCATCGTGCTGTGAACACTGGATATTTACTACCATTTTTTTTTTTTTGTTTGTTTTGTTTGTTATTGGATTCTTAAGAGCGGACGAACTAAGCGGTGGCTTATGTGATCAACTTATCAATTGCTCTTGTAACTTCCAAAGTTGAATATGAGCGAAATCTCTGCTCTATAAAGTGCCTTGTACTATCCCAGGAATAGCGTTTAGGTACTATGTTGTTTATTGGCTTTGTCCAAACCGTTATAACTTTACACATTTCGATGATCATGCGAAGAATATTTGAAAGCGAGCTTTCTTTTTAAATTACTGAAGAACATATCAATAGTGGAACTTTAATTTTCTTCTTATTCGTATGTTGAATATTTATTTAGAAGCTTTTAAAATCTGTGCACTTATATGTATTGTGGGCTGGCCGCTCATATGCACATTCAAATTTGCTTTGCTACCGTTGAAGAAAAACGTACGAGCACAGGTTTAGCTCTTTATTTAATTTTATACGGCCTTCAATGTCACGCAATGACTGACTCGCAATAATCAGCTGAAACGGAATCTAACACTGATCCAAAAGTAATATGTGTCTTATCACCTATTGCTTTTTCTTGTTCCTCACATATTCCATCTTCTTCTAAAGAAATTTAACAAATTTTTTAAATTTAAATCTAATCGAGAAACTATCATAAATAACTTATTTCAATAACAATATAAAGAATGTTCAGCTTTTCGATTAAGAGTTAATGTCAAAATATAAAAAAAGGTAAGTGAAAGTAGATCAAGCGGAAAGCCGCATACAAATTGATGCTCGGACGCACAATCGGATTTGAGTTCTTGCACTCAGACCCCTTCTGCAGGCATGAATTTTTCTAAAGTGTTCGCTAAGCTTCGAAAGTTTATTTTTCAAACAGAATAATTTAATTAGTTCTAAGAATCTATCAAAACAAGTTATTTATAAACACGAAATATTATACTCAGGCTATATATTTTTTAAGTTCGTATTGTATAGAAATAAGAGAAAGTTGAGAGATAAAAAAAAAAAATGTATTCTTCACTGGTGCCAGTTCTGCATAAACTTTGGATCGGTTCGAAAAGTTATCAAGCATATAATGCGGCTACTGTTCTGAAAGGCTATCCAGAGTTCCCGATTATGTCCTTCCGGTCCATAGCACGGGATATCTTTCTGAACGTGCAACTATGAGTTCCACCGTCGTATAATAATAATATTAGGTCGTTTAAAAAGTTTTTGCATTTTTTTCGCGGGATATTGTTAATGCCTTTATATCCGGCACCACTCACCTGATTATCTTATACGAATATATGCTTAAAAGGTGACATTTCAGTTTACATTTCTTATACAGATAGTCTTCTAGATAGTCTTGGCTCATGTAAAAAGTTACATTGACTTGGCAATGGATGAAATAAATGAGGAAACACATTTTTTAATATAAAAAAGGTAAAACATGCAAGAACATGGCGACAAACTTGCGAAGTGTAAGGTGAGAATGCTGTGAGTGGACGAAGGAGGAGTTGGCTCAATTCCATTTCGCAAATTTCGATGCACATCTTACTCTGGTCGAAAAAGTCGATGATAATTGGCAACTGGTGAAGCAAGATCGTCATATAAGCTGTCAGAATTAGGGGAGGCCGCATGGCATTTGGGAAACATTTGAAAAGTGTAGGCTACAAAAAGGAGGTCGAAACTTTATTGTTATTTTATTTTTATGACTAATTTTAATATTATGACTAACAACATCCCCCTGAGTAACCGAAGGCGAGGAATATCGAATTTATTTCTCTGGCGAAGAAAATAATAATAATAATAATATGACTAACAACAAATTTATAAACATTTATTTGCTTTCCTTTATTATTATTACTATTACTTTGATTACAAAAATAAATTTTAAGCCTAAAGTCTTGAAACACTAAGCGTCTTTTTTGAAAACTGTACCGCACTTGGGATATGAACCCACGATCATTCCGCTGTTAACCAGATCCTTTGCCTTCATGGCCTTTCATTAGGGTTACTTGGTAATTTTTTGCAATTGAAGCGTGAAATAATCAAAAAATTTTAATTCAAAGTTGAAATGAGATCTAAAGAGTGACTTTGACAGGATTGAGGTTAATTTTTGTTCTTGAAATTTTTATATTCTTCTCGGAAACATTATGGCCACAGGAAAGTAAATAATATTTGAACTAATGTTAGATAAAATTTTCAGGTTAGCGGACTTTCCCATATATTCCCTAAATAACATTAAACATAAAGCAGGACTTGTAAGCATTGCCACCTATTATTAACTTTGCTACAACTCAACGGAAAGAATTCATGATTGAAGTGTATGACGATGACAGAGAGTTTTCCGTCTATGTTAATGCATGCTTAGCTGAAACCATGTATTGCAATTTTGGAATTTTATCGAGTTATCCCAAGGCCATGAATTCAACAGTTAAGAGCCTTTCCGAGAAAAACATAATCGATTTGCTTTACATTTTCTACTTCTTCTCCTTGTCAATGCTACGAAAAGATTTATAATTTTTTGTAAGACTTCACATTACTTCCTTATTGCAATAAGTGCAGGAAGACTAAATCAGATACATTGCTCTGATCTAGGAAGGATTATAAAAAAAAAAAAGACAAAGAATTGTTGAATCTGAAATTCCTTCATTAAGAGATTCCTTACACATAAAAAAAATTTCATTTTTCTTTCTTTCTTTTTTTTTTTTTTTGCATTCCTTTTGGGGGCAAGCCAACCTGACAGCTTGAAAAAAAAAAATCGTTTTTCTTTGACAATCGTTTTTAGATGGAATGTGTGTTACAGCATACATTAAATCAGTCACAAAAAAATTATTGTTAAAGAAATGTAATATCCTTACTATACTATCCTCACGTGAGGCATCTCGAAGTGAAGGAGCTCTACGAGCCAAAAAAATCACTAAAGTAAAATATCTATAGCTAGCTGGGCAAGTATCTTCACTGCTCTTTGTAGAAATTTTACTTTTCTTGTGATCGGCAAGTATTTGAGTGAAAAGGTTCCATTTTTTGACCTAAAAGAGACAATCTCTTATTAGTACACTTACTAACTTTACGGGGAAAGCTCGTCTAAAAATTTTATGTGTTATAAGTAAATAATAATTGTGAGAATTGAAGAACGCATCTAATGTCTCGAAATGTGCTACAGACACGTTTCTTCACTGCAATAAATTTGTTATTATTTTTCTCCATTAGTAGGTCATGTCCTTTCCTAAAAGATTTTTGCCTAAAATTGCGCTTATTGTTGTCTCTGACAAAGTGAGAAAAGCATTTTTTATGACGGAAAAAATTGAAACAACGACGAGATAAACAATTCGAAAAGCTCTAGCTTGTTCTTAGAGGCCTCGAGAGCTTTTGTATCGCTCTCAACCTTGTGTCTCCTCGACAGACTCCCCAATGAACCTAAGCTAGCATAGAAATAGAACTTTTCAAGGACATCCTTTAGATGTGACAACACGTTCGCACTTCGTAGGGTAGCCTTTCCGAAACATTCGAAGAATTGTTCGATATATCAAGCAAGGGATGTCTTCAAAGTAATGAACTCTTTTTTTCACATATTTTAAACATTTATAAGAAGAAGAATTTTTGAAAAACTTGCATTGGCTTGCCCCCTTAAGGAGCACTATCTATTTAATATCAAGTAAGCTTTAGAAACTTTTGAATAACATATTTTCTAATTTATTATAGTGAAAGTTTGTTTAACAAAAATTTCTATACTAAATAAAATATTTTTTCTTTTTTTTTTCCAAATTTTTTCTTAACATTTTACACCCATCCAAACGATGGAAGTATACTAGATTTGTCACTTGGTATGTAAACGAAAGGAGCAACCGAAACAGTATCGCATAGAATGAATACATTTTTGCTAATTACGAGATATTTAACCTTTTTTGATCGTCCATCTGTCTGTCCGTCTCCCTGTAACAGTTTACTTAAACTCACAAAGGCTGACTTGGAAAACCTTTATTATGTCTTCTGTTGAAAGGCAAATGTTTGCATTTCATTTAAGAAGCTTGGGCCTACAACAACTATTTGGTGAAAATATTTGAAAGCTTTTCCGTAAGTTAGGTAGAAAAATGTCCCCGATTTGCGATTGGCGCGCTTCCAATTGTCAAATCACGTTATGCTTATCCCTGTCCTTACTTAGTGTAAGATTTCTCTTTTTTTTTATATACTTTTTTTTTTTTTTTTTTTTAGAACTTTATTCTCTGTTGCATTACTTATGTCGTCGTTTGTCAAATAATATCAACAGAAATAACAACAACCGTTACAGCAACAACAAAAGTAATACCATTCTGTTGTCTTACTTATCAAGATGCTTAAAAAAATGCAACCGCACCTACATATGCACACACCCACACACACACACACACACACATACACACACACAGACATTTACCGATAAGTTTAACATTAGATGAAACTCCTTAATAGCAGAAAATCTTTATTTAAAGCTTCAATTTATTTTCTGCACAAAAACACACACACGCACACCCACTTGAGCACACTTGAAAACTCAGACTAATGTGTCTCTAAGCCGGAAGTGAAGAGAAACGAATGAGAAAGATTTTCTTACACTTTTTTTGTTGTTTTATTTTCTCTGCTGCTGTTTTCTTTCGTGTTAAGAAACTAATGGAAAACATAACAAAACGAGCAAATATGGTAAACATAACAAGAGAAACTATATAATAAATTTTTAAGTTTTAAACACATCGACCCCAAGCACATACGCACACTTGCATAGTCATATGTAAAAAGTAATGTATGCAGAATGTTTTTAAAAACAACAACAACAACAACAACAACAACCATAACAACAAAAAATGTTTTATTTTTTAAGATTTACTTTGTACTATATTTTTCTCTATTGTGTTTTCCTTAAAGTTCCTACTACGTACACAGTAACATACATCGAAAGATGTAAAAATGGAAGGCTAAGCATAAAATATATTAACGGATTTTCTCTTTAGTTGTTCAGTTCTTCTAACTTTCTTTCACTTTCTCTTTATCTTCTTCACTCTCTCTCTCTCTCTCTCTCTCTCCCCCTCTTAAACGGTCCTTACTAAACCTCTTTTAATAGGGGGTTGGAGAAGCTTTTCTTTCTCGGTCATCCTGTATGGGTATTATTGGACTGCATACTATTACTGTACGTGTAATAAAAGACTTTATTATATTTTTAAGAAAATATTGAGCCTTTAAGAACTTACTTAATTTCAATGATTGCATTCACTTGGCACTAAAAACAAATTAGTGCTACAAGGGTTTATTAAAAGGCTTCATATTTTTTAGACAATATTACCTATCGTCCTTGGATTATAGGATGAAAAATGAAAAATACAAAATGCATATACAAGTTGGCATGTGTATGTGTGTATGTTTATAACGAGTTATTGTCCCTTTGCGTTTGATAATATTTTCCTATTGTTTTTGTTTTAATTCCGAAATGCTTTACAACTTATCTGCAACTATTAGGGTTTAAAGAAAAACAACAATTACAACAACAAAAGGATGATATCGTCTGCCTTACGGCTAATGTTCTTGTGCAAACTGCTATGAGGAAAACTCTGCAAACATATTTAGCAAAAAAAAAAAGTTGAACTTTTTCCAAATTTGTTTTAATATTTTTCCTCTCCTTTTCAGTACCACCCGAATCAATTATAATATTGGATAGCAAAGGAGCTACGATAAAGGATCATACGTTGGGTCCTTACAACGAAGGTGCCATGATTAATATCACATGTGTTGCCATAGGTGGTAAGTTTCCAACATCAACTTGATTTTTTCACAATTGTCCTAAATTTTATTGACACATTTCCCGCATTTAAATGCTAAGAGCAATAAAGTACACTTGACACATTATAAACGCTATCACAAAAAAATTGACATTTGTACTTGAGCAATAAACAACATTTCGACGACGAATGTATTTCAAAGCATTTGTTTAACTATAAAATATTTCGCATGTTTATGTACGCAAGGCAAAGAAACGGAAACTAACTATAAGAGCAAAACACATGTTGTGCAAAATTATTTTGTTCTTTACTTGACTCCTTCAAAATAACTTTATATGGGGTGCGTAGTAGCAATGTTCTCGGTAGGGTTTCTAACTACTAAAGCTTTTGGTGCAATAAACTTTTTTGCGAATCTCTTCGTAAAATTATTTTTAATGAACTTTGATAAAATTTAATTTTCAATTAAATGTTTTGCATTCATATCTGATTCATTCTAGTAAATAGTTTTGAGCCTTTAATTTTAATTCCAAACGTTTTAAAGAGAGCTAAAGGATTCATAGGCAAATACAAAGCCACAAAATTGTTTATTGCGGGAAGTCCGTAACTCATACAATTGTTTTCTATTTTTTTCGGCGACAAAGACTTGGAGCTGTGGAAATATTATATAAAACCGGTTTCTGCTCTCTTTTGTAGGAATGTTCGACAAAAGAGGTTTTTGGTTAGTAGCTAACTGCTTTACTTTCATTAGATCTACAATCTTGTTATATTTCCAAAAGATTCTCCAAAGGTAAGGAAACTGACGTTAGCTGTACCGACTTCAGGAATCCGTTTGGTAGGTTAAATCTCACGGCTTGCCTATCCTTAAATTTGCTTAATATAACTTTGCGTTTAATGGTTTTTGTTTTTTTCATCTGAAAGGCTGCATGCAATGGGTTGTGTGAAATGTAACTTTATCTAAAGAAAGAATAGTTTCATCTCGAGACCGACAGTCATTTGGTTCACCCATTCATCACTCTCATCTTAAACGATTTACTGGCTCAGTGCTCTTGTACTTAAACGCTCAGTGTTCTTGTATTTAAATGTAGGTTGATGATGCGAAACTTCTATGTCTTTCGTTTAATACCAGAACAGCAAGATTTAGAAACTTTAATAGTTCGGAGTAGACTCTAATCTAATATAAGAAATTGTCATTTTGCAGATGCTCAAGAAACCATACGGACTACATATAACTTGTCCGGTCGAATCTTACCATTTATGTCTCTTAATTTTACTCTCAAAACTCACTTTTCGACTCCCTTTGCAGGTACTTTTCTTATATACGCTGACCTAAATTCATCGCGATATTTTTAATCGATTAGTCCCTTTTTTCGCTAAATTACTGCACAATTTTTGTTAATCTTTTCGTCAGTCGCCAGCTGCATGAGGCAGCTAATGTGCCATAAATGTGTGCTTTGTTTTCCCCTGTTTTAGATAATATTTTTGTCATTTTGTCGAGTTATTTCATTACAACCTAATTTCATATTACACATACACTGTGTTTGACAAGTATACGAATAAGTCGCTCGCTAAAGAGATCGACACAGTTAACTGGTTAACCCGTAACTGTAGATGTACTAGTAAACCGATTACGACCATTTTTGCGCTGAGCATGCATGCAGTTCTATAAACGTTTGGCTAAATATTTAGATATATTCCTATGGGGTTCGAAAGTTATGAACGACAATTTGAAAAATTAAAGAAAAAATTCGAGCTTGTCTCTGTTTCTTAAACAATGTGGGCGTGCATGTGAATACATCACGCCCATTGTTTAACCTCAGTTTCTCAATAGACGAAGGAACGTTTCTGTCCAATTTCAGATTCTTACCTTTATTTCGTCAAATGTTCGTAAAGGTGTTATGCGTCATTTGAAAATAATTAAATGGGCGTGTTCCAAAACAGCTACTAGTCATATCTACACTTGTCATTTAAAGCCAAAGTGCAATCCTGAAGGAATATAACTTGCATGCATTCAATTTTCAGGCGTAAAACTCAAAGCCGTCGAATTGACGTATACCGTCAATCTAGTGTTAAATTGTTGACTTTGGCTATATTTACCAATTCCATTTTTATATAGGTAGTTAAAAATACAACAAATATTTGTAAGAATATGCAAATACGTAAAATTTACTTGTAATGCTCTCAAAAAAGATAATGTATATTATTTGAATTTGTGTGCTTGTGTGTATGTGTGTTTGTATGCTTATATGCAGTATTTGAGTTTTTTATACTTTATCAGGTAACTTTTGTTAACCACACTTTCATTTTATTACGTCCGAATGGTAAAACATTGAAAATTATTATTATTTGTTTTTATTAACAAACACGGAACGTTACTTGCTTTTACTATATTAATACTAAAACATTGAAATCCATCATCCTTCCTTGTTTTTATTATTTCATACAAATTATGTGCAATTTTTTTTTTTTTTTTTTTTTTTTTTTTTTTAACTCAATCAAAGGGAAGTTTACTTGCTACATAGAGTGAACGATAGCCGTGACAATGCGATGATAGTATATGCGTGTTTTACAAAGCATATGAGAACGGTTTTCAATTTTCACTTTCGCCAAAGATGAAAATCTTTTCAAGGATAATAATCATCGTTCAACCGCTTTGATAGCCTTCAACATTCCTTAACCAGTTAGCTGCGAAATATGTTTTTAAAAATCCCTCATACAAGTTGCGTAATCAAAGTCAAGCGATGGCGTGTATACACTTCGAACTCAATACAAGCGATCATATAATAAATTTTTTCCCAAACGGTAAAGTAAACTGAATAACACTTCACTTTTATTGGAAAATAGAAAAGTGCTCCACTGTTGAACAACTTATTGCCTTTGAAATTTTAACAATTGCTACAAATGTATAAGAAAAAAAAAAACCCGAACAAATTAAATTCCGTGTGATTGGCGTTTAACAAAACCAGGCACCACACAACTTCACAGATTGAGTCCCTTTTACGGGATACCTTACGTCATTTCATTTATCAAACAGACGGAATATTTTCTAAATGAATTTACTTTTGATGGTGTTGTTAGTACAAACTGGTGGCCTCACGCAAAGGACTGCAAATTTTGCAGCTGCGGTTGGTTACATTTAACCGGATTTTTTTTTTTTAATTTATAGCAGGCTGGCTGGTGTTAAAAGAAAATAAGAAACGTGCTAGTAAATGACATTGTGTTACGTCCCACTAAAATTTCTAGTTTGTATATCGAGTGGTTACTTTCCCATGTTCCATGCAACGTATATGCAACGTTCCATCCGAATCAAAGTAAATAGATAGACCGACAAGTCGAATACACTTAATTGATTGTGAGATATCAAAATTTTCTCGCGTGATTTCTAAGATTTTTGGCAACATATTTTTTATATCCTTGACATAATTGAAGATGTTTCACATTTTACAGATAAGGATCTTGCTTTCATCCGAAACTATGCTTCCACCCTCGATGGATGCTAAAACTAGAGATACTCTGGTATTTATCAAGAGGTTGTATTGTGGTTTGAAGACCTGCACATAACTAAGAGTTTCATCATAGCGTCGATTAAGCTTATTGTACAGTACGCGTCAATGGTGTAGATCGTGATATTGATTTAATTGTGTCTATCCAGAAACAGTTTGTTATATCTACTTTACCTGAGCTAAGATAGAGCTGCAATTGGATTCTTCCTCCCCATGGTAAACGTTAAGCGTTTGAAATTGATTAATTTTCCAACCCTTTATAAGGGAAGACTTGCACTGGGTGTCACCTTTGTGGTTAAATTGACCAATTGGTTAATGATGTAATCTCGCCACGAGGTATACCTAACGAAATATTAAACAGAAAGCAGTGAGTGTCCTAATTAATGTTCTACCGCTCGAACTGCGAACAATTGGACCTCTTTTACAGCCCACTTTCTATTAGGGCAATCACTTGAGACGCTGCTTTCGGCGTGATGTCTATTTTCCTGTTCACAATGGTCTCGTATTTGTTCAAGAACCTTTCGGACTGTGAATTGGTATACAAGTGATATCATTTCTTTTACATCTACTCAAAGTCGTGAAAATAACGCCACCTGAAACGAGCAATTTTAAGTATTTCTATTGTTTTATCGGTTTTTAGTGTCGAGAGTAAGCTTTTTGTGTTTTTCAAAAGCTAACAGTGTGCATTTTAGTATAATTTAGGCTATGCTTTAATTTAATATATATTTAAGCTCGAAGTGAAAATGTAAAGGGTTTACGATCTTTTGCCCTCTAGTGCACTGTTCAGATGGTATGCGTATAAATTGTATTGATTGCACGAAATAATTAACTTTAAGTTTATTACTTTTTATCATTTTTAATGAGATAGGTATGTATTAATTTAATTGAATAGTTGTCTTGTGTTAGCCAAATAAATAAATAAATGAGCAAATTTATTATTATTCGGTTTTCCTGCATATACCCATATGCACATACCACGATACGATAGTAACAAGAGGTTTTTTTTTTAATAGCAATAATAGCACGTTGGTCGGACCCTATTAATTACGATAACGCCCGAGTAGAAATTTTTTCTTTTTTTTTAATTAACTAGAGTTTTGCCGATTTACTTTTTCAATAAAATATTGTACAGATGTCTATAAAATTTATTAAATAAAAATACATTATTAAGCTGAAAAATAAATCTTGATCTCTTAAATACGTCATTACCAACAAAAAGGAAATTGCAATGCAAATAAGGAAGTAAATAAGTAGATAAAAGCAAATTTATTATAGTGGACTACGGTTCATCGTTAAATAACCGGCACTACCCCGCAGCTAAGCATACGACGTCTATTCAAAATATGGGTTTATATGAGATGTAGGGGAGGAAGTGCTCCCAACCGAACTATTTTATACTATCTTTTCATTAATTGCGACCTGTTGGTTAAACACAAAAATACAATGGCGAGAAGCAGCTCGACAGACAGACTTTGAAAAGGTAATTTTGGATCGGTCAGTGCAGTAAAAGACTCAGTCCGCCTCAAGTCCTTCTGGATGTTGTATTCAACCGCACAAACTTAATATATCTTCCTACCAAAATTGGTGTAGGGTATAATATAGATATAGATTTTTTTTGTGGTTTTGGGACTATAGCATGTGACTTGTATTTATGCCTTTTAAGGTTTTGTTTAGTTTTCTTAATCAGACTGTGTATATTTTGCTCTTTAGCAAGGGCCGAAAAGGTAAAATAGCTTCGTGCCATTAATTTTCTTATACTGGCGTTGTTCTAATAATAGAAACAAATCAAGAAAACGAAACACGATGCAATGCAAAGTTAGTTACTTACCTAATAACGATCTGTAAAGTTGTGTGTAAGAAGCTCAGATTTCGATATAAAAATTCACATATCCGTGAACTTCTTGTTTCTTTAGGGAAGCTCATTTGCCAAAATACTGACATCGGCGCTTTTGCTTCTTTTCTTCGCATAGCTATATATCCAGACACCTATTGCTTAAGCGCTCTTCTTCTAGATTTGCTCACTGTTCGCACTTTCTCCTTCTTCTCGGCTGCTTTACCTGGCCAAGTACTGCATAAACTTTATTTCTCTTCCGGCCAATACTCTTATGATTTATTGAACAGAAATTTAATAGGGTACGCCCCTACTTCCGCTTCTAACAACCACTTTCCTTTTCACATCTGTCTATCTTGCTCCGCTTTTGTTACTCTCCCTTTCCTCCTGTCTTTCACCCCTCCTCGATCACTCTTTCTTCCTCTTTTTTCTCTTTTTAATCTTTCTGTTGTGTATAATCAAGCGATGATTGCCTAAAATATCCAAGCGATCTATCTCTAGTTAATGCTCTAAGATGGATACCGAAATTCTCGAAATACGGTAGCCGTGCCTGCCGCAAGGCTGCTATTTCAAACTATCCTGTTCTGTAACGCTAAAGAAAAGTGTAAGGGCGATGGAATAATTTATTAAAACTTATTGCCTTTCAATTTTGTCGAACTACGGATCTCTTCATCATAAGCGATATCCTTGCTTATGTCCATTTTATCATTATATTTCAAGTACTTTAATCATTTTTAGAACAAGAAGAAGATCTATAAGAAAGGAAGACAGAGAACCGCAAAAACTGTTTGCAAATAAATTTTACTTTAAATGTTTTACTTAAGTTTTTCTCTCGTAGACAAAAAGTTTTTTGAAAATCGAAAAAATTTTGTTTTCTTCTTAATTCTAATTGTCATATATACTCTACACGTCGTCTTTACACTTTTCTATTGAGTGCGTTTAAATGTTTTCATAAAATTTACTTTACTTATGTGTATTTAATTTTGCTATAAATTGTCAGTAAACTCTCTTAACGTCATTTACACAATTGCCGTTGAAGGCAAAATGCTTGAGAATGTTAGAAAATCTATACAAAACACTGAAAACATCGACCGTAATAAAAAAAGGCAGGAATCCGAAAATACACACATATGCACACACACACACACACACATCTACACATCCACTAAAGGAATGAAGAAGAAGATTAGATTTCTATATTTACTTGGCAGACTATTTGTGTTTAAATAAACGAAAGAATAAAGCAATAAAAAAAAAGAAGAAAAAAAAAAAAAGAGAAGAAAATCACAATAAAACGACAGTAAAGTCTATAGTTTCAAGCACACCTGACAAAAACACTTGACTCTTGCAAAGAAGCAAAAAAAAAAAAGAAAAAACAAAAAATGCACGAAACACAAGATAAGATATTCCCGCTGCTAACTCTCATCCTCTCCCATCAAAATGTTTTCCATCCAATTTTCCACTAATCATCATTATCTAGTTTCGAACATAATTCCGGATTTTTTGCTTAACTTTTTTCTCCTCTGTTGGCAGGTCAACCGCAACCGCGCGTTACCTGGTGGCATGAAACAACATTGCTCGATAGCTCATCACATGCTTTATCAGATCGTCGTGTGGGTAATGTGCTGTCATTGGGTAAATTGAAACGAAAAAATCTCCATATGCAACTAACCTGCCAAGCAGCCAATAATAATCTAACGGTACCAATTACGAATACCGTCACACTGGATATGAACCGTAAGTGGCAATGATGTTAGCAATAGCACTACAAAATGATGTATGGCCACGAGCACCTATAGAGTAATTGAACTATTGCATATGCTGTTATTAATGCGAACGAAAATGAGTAGCAGAAGACATTCTAATGCTAATTGGACTTGGATGGAGCAAAGTGTTGCTCTAATTTAATGTGTAATGGAAAGTTTATTTTTTTTTTTTTAGAAATGAAAGGCAGACCTTGATAAGAACACGTACCTAATAATAGCTGTGAAAAATTTTGACAGAAATAACTTGCGCATCTATAGCGTAAAAGAGTGTGATTTTCAGCAGATATAGATTGACATTGTATTAAGATTTTTCTTGCAATTGCACATACATTTCTTCGCAGTTACTCTTTTACTTTCGCAATAAAACACTTTTTGAAAAGTCAATAAAAAAAAGAATCAAAATGACTTCCAGGAGATTAAGGCAATCATAGATTGAAGACTCCGATGATCGCTACTCGCATAGCTGTTTGCTGTACGGCGACAAGACGACATGATCTAAGATATAAAATGTTTCAGGAAAACATGTAAAAAGTTCGCAGGAATGTTGCGTTACTTTCGAGCTTGATATCAAAGTAATCTTTAAGAAAATCTTGAGCACTAATGTTACTTAAGCTCTTTACAAGTAGTTTTAGTAGTCTATGTTTTGATCTGGACTATTGGTCTTTTAGTGGAGAAGAAAGCATTTACTAATCTATTTGAGAGTTTGCACTGTCAGTCACTTTCTTGTCTACTCGGAATGATTTTTGTTCTTCCAAGTAGGAAATCTGCTTTACTAGCCGTTGAAAAAGTGGAAATTTTGAAAATTGAGTTTATCTGCAGATTTCGCTCTTATCGGAAGTAGTGACACGATATTGCGATTAAAAAGTAATGAAAAGTAGACAAGTCACGTAGTCTTAACGAAATGCTTGCATTGAATCAGTCAAAGCAAGAATGCATTATAATTACACGCGCTATAGTGATGCCAAAGCTGAGAGGTACCTGCTTGTTATATACCTTCACAAGAATCAAGACTATAATGAAATTACATTAATTTTGTAATACTTCTTTAACATAGTGTAGATAAATCTGGAATTATGATTTGCATTGTAAAGCGTTTTGTCCGAAAATATAATATGCATTAGAAATTCTTAAACAAACCAATTCAACACACTTTCAAACCAAGTTTTAATTTCTTTATGGAACAGTATGTGTCATCTTAAGTGGAATTAAATTATCTGCCAAATCATTCAAGAGTATGTTGCATAATTACTTCAAAACTTGCAAAAAATTTGAATACTACGTCTATAGTGCTTCGTAAAAGTGTATATATTAAATATTTAATTTTAAACGATATAATTAACCGTATCAAGAGGTATGACGAAATCGCTTCTAAAGTCGCGGTTCGGCCTGCAAACATTATGGAAACGACTTTCAGTCGAGCTAGGGTTATTAAGAGCTTGTCGAAACGATCTCAAAAGTTACCATCTCCCAGCCATTCGAAACACTTCTATGTTAATACGCGTAGCCCACATGATATCTAAAATCTTACTACAAGACTTAAGTCCAGTAGAAAGGCTGATATATTTACAATATAGCAAATAACAATCAAAGCGACTGTTCCACGATTTAAAGACAATCCATGAAAAGTTCCTAATTATCTGGTTCAAAATAATCTCTCTCTCCTCGTATATACAGTCCGCTATTTACACGAGACATTCATTTACCTGGAATTCCTTCTAATTATTGGGAAAATGCAATAAGTTGCGTCTATAATAAATTTCTTTTACCAAGAGATTAAAATTGATGCTAAAATTGAAAGCTAGAAGCTAATGAGGTTGATAAAGCCGCCTTACATTATCGAAAGCTCAGTTAGGCATTCATTTTGTCTTCTTCATATGGACTTAGCTCGATTTTATGCGGCATCGTCTTGGAAACATCTACCGATGTAGATGTACTTATTCTGATCGAATAAGTAAGAATAAGAAACTTCGTTAAATGCTTCTAACTTTTGTTCTGAAGCCGGCTCGCAAGCTCAACATAGATACTCTTGCACACAACAAAGCAAACTATCTCTAAGCTTAGCTCTTCGTGGGGGAAAAATAATTTAAATTTCTAAATTTTACGCATACGTAAACAGCAAGTAAAAACAAAACATTTGGTCAAGATCGCCCTTTGAATACCTTTCACCACATCACCTAATGCAACTTTTCATTTATTTCCGAGATAGAATACCAAAAATTATGCCTTGCTTGCGCCCACTTACATGTTTACATATTTTGGAAACCGTCATGTAGGATGAGGTCCAAAAAATGGACCTTAATGGTTCAAATTCAGTACACTTGAGCTTTTACTTACTCTTTAATTACTGTTATGAACTAATTTTGACCACAAAACATCAAAAATTGTATTTGTCTGCCATAAGAAGGCTTGGTTTTCTTGCGAATCCTGGTATAGAGCCCAGTCCAACAAATAGACCCACAAGTTGTTATGCAGTCAATTTTGGTTTCAGCTAACCAGGGAACAATTTGTAACCTGAAATATTGAAAGTTCGGCGTTTCCCTTCAGCGAAAACGATTTCATAGAAGAGGTCCCTAAAAATTGATCTATATGATCAGAAATTTTTCGTGCCAATTTAGTGCGACGAAACAATGTTGGTCAGTGATCCGAGCCATATGCAAAAATATTTGTCCTTGGGCTGAAGTAAGTATGTCAGTGCATCAAATTGCCACCAAAATATCTACAGGTTGAACGCGGAAATACATGGACGCGTGGACAAAGAAGCTTAAATAAATTTAAAAAATTTTATCTGAATAAAAGATTTGTCCATTTTAAGACACTTCACATGTGACTACTCACATCCGCATAAGCCCAATATAACCTGTGCCACCATCGGTGTTGCGGATAATTAATAAATTTCGTAAAAATCCTCGAATAAAGCAAAATAAAAAATGTGCGTCGCTGGCCTTGCTGACTAACTGAGACTGAATGTAGTTCGACTTTCCAGCTGAGTTATAATTTAAAAACTATCAGCAAATTACATAATAAAAGTAATTCCGCTCAAACACTCAGGCTAAAGCACTCAGAGACATGTAACCGGTCCATTGCCGAGCACGTTGAGTTGCTGAACTTGATGAATGATTTGCAACACAATAATGGATGATATGTAGAATGTTGATGTAGAGGTTTACTCTACTATAAATTTCCTATAATAAGACTGACCTTTTTTAATAAGACTGACGGCTTCACTTGCTAGTAGTTATCTTATTTAAATCAAATCTCGATAATATAAGCCAGATGAGCTAAGGCTTCGCATTAAGTAATATTGGGGAAAATAACTAAATCTTTTACTTAGATGCAACTGCTTTGTAATGTACGCAAAGGCAAGACCAGACGAACAATTCGATTTCGAATCTATAAAGGATAATACCCCTTATCGAATAACATATCTTTCGAAGTCTAACGATGCCAGAGAAAAGTATTGTGTATGTTTTGATACAAGCGATGAATAAATTTATGTAGTTAGCTTCATATGCGGTGTGCGTACCAGCCGTGCTACATGGAAATGAAACTATTATATAGCTTTTCAATCATAATGCTGGCTAGATTTTCTCGCCGCTATTGTTATATTTTATTACATTTTTATATCGTTTCTGTTCTTCTAAATATTCTTATGGCAAATTGTACTTGTATGCAGTACGACCATTGCTGGTGAAATTGCAAGGAGAAAATCGCCCTTTATCGGCGGACAATTCATATCAATTAAGCTGTGTTGTTATTGGTTCCCGGCCGGCACCGACTATTACTTGGTGGAAGGGTAGCACACCCATGAAAAATACTCATGAAATTGTAAGTGGAAGCGTTTTGTTTTATTTCGTTTTTATTCTATTCTCGCAATTTATTATCCTTGCTTTTGTTTTTCTTCTTCTTCTATAATATGTATTTTTCGTATCTTATGCAGGCTAATCCTGATGGCAATATGACCACATCAATATTAACGTTTACGCCGACCATCGATGATCGCGGCAAGTATTTATCTTGTCGCGCTGAACAGACAATGATACCCGAGAGTGGTATGGAGGATGGCTGGAAGCTCGATATTTACCGTAAGTAATGCGAAAGATTTATATATAAATAAGAAAACAAAAAAAAAAAAAAACAAAAAAAGATAGAAAGAAAATACCACCGTTTATAAAGGCTTAGCCTGTTGAGAAATATCTCTAAATACGCCAAACAATAAATTGCTTTATCGCAATAAATTTAACGGAAATTTCGTAAATGAAAAATTTACGGCAAATTAAACCGAAAAGTATTTGCAGTGATTTTTATGCTCGCAATAAATTGAATAGAAAATCATTTATCTTTAGTTAAAATGTATTGTTTACCTAACACTAAATTCAAATAGAACACAATATTTTGCAGCCTTAGGGAGGCATTTAACGCGTGCATCTTCATAGGCTTTCTAACAATACACAAACACACACAGCAGCAGAGCGAAGCAGGTTAAAACGAAAATAGACACAAGGGAAGTATCCTAAGCTTTTCATAAGCTTCGTCATACATGATAGTGAGGAATAGGTGTTAAATACGCATTCAGTCTGTCTGGCAAGTCTGTTCGTCGATCAACAAAAATTGCAATAACAATTATCTGTACAAAATCCACTAAACCGCGATGAGGTTTGAGAACCGCATTCTTAGCATTGCCTGCGTCTGGTAAGAATTTTCAAATTTTCAAATTTCGAAAATGAGTTTTACATGCCAGCCTGCTATCTTTTCAACACGATTCTCAGAAAAAGCTCCTTTTACCAATAAACTAGATAAACATAATCAGAAAGGCTGTTACATGTGTGAATAGGGAAAGGGGAACAAAGACGATAATATTTTGGTTCGATTTGCTTTGCCCTTTGAGGGACAATGCCATCATGTACGTTTTTCCCTACGACAATTTTCGTTTTGTCTGAAATGTCACTACCCGTGTTTAACGCTAATACCGGAAATATTACACCGCAGATGGAATTCTTTATAAGCGTTAAATGTTCGACTTTTCCGGTGTAGTAGCTAGATAGCACTTTAATCACATTTTTCTCGAAACCATTTTTTTGCACCCAATGTTTGCAGACGATCTTAAGTGTATTTAATCAATTTTGATTCTCCGTGAATTAAGTTCGCCCGGAAGACGCAACGGCCTTAGAGATCAAGAGAGGAAGCTTTTATTCATTTTTAATCATTTGTTGCAACTTTCTTTAAAACGCTCCAGAAACCTTGAAAAGCGTATTTAGTCATTCATTCATTCGATCCTAAAACGATTTCCATTCGAATGCCTTCTAAGCAAAGAGAGAGAGAAGGCATATACGTTTCTTTTAGTTTATTTTTCAAGTCGAGCTTTGTGAGGACCAAAGTAACCGGTTCGTTTTGCACTCATACTTAGTTATAATGCTGTATACGAATAAACAGACCATCATAATATGCTAAAAACACGCCATCACATTCGAAGCCTTATCAGTTGTCTTCGGATGTAATTATAGTTGATTGGCAACACCGAACAGAATGACAGCAAGTCAACAAGCATCGTTCCCCTTTCCATACTTCTTGCATCAAAGCTAAAGCAGGTAAAAGTATCGTAAAATTTATTGTTTAAACGTTAAACATCCGTAAATTGCATTAAATACAAAGAGCCGCGCGTACTAAAAGTAAGCCCGGAATAGAGAGTGTGGAGGAGATAAGCTGGCAGCTGTTTTTGTAAATTCGTTACTTTACAATATTTGTGCTAAGTGTGGCGAATGGCTTGGCTATAGGAATTCTGCTCTGTTCGTTACAGCTTAAAGGCGGATCCAGTTTGTTCGCAACACTACCAATAAATGCTAAAGAACGTACGAGAATCGAAAAAATATCATAGCTTTCGATCGGTGATAAAAAATACCATTAATTTAATCTTGGTACGACTTACAAGAGCTAACCGCTCAATGTTTAGGACGAAGCCTTAGAATTTGTACGCCTATAGCAAAAGCGAATTATCTCGGGCATCCAGTATTCGTCTCCTACTTGGTTTTCTTTATGCACTTTGTGCAGAGCCTTACTTTTCCTGCCTTGGCGGCCCCTCTCTCCGTCTATCACGCTTTCTTTTACTCACTTCTTCATTTTTCGCATATCCATAAAATTTATAATTTATTTATTCTGCTCTCTGGCGTAAGTATAAGCGCATATGCAGAAAATTTTTTAATGCTAAAAAGCAATCAGATAAGCATTTAATTATCTTTATTTAACTTGTAGCTTTTTCGGGCAATAACACATTAATAATATAACAATAACAACGAGAAGAGCAATAATTCTGCTAGTGGCACAAGTATCTCGACAACCATGAGAAAAAGTAATAATTATTATGCACACAAGTTCGCATTACAAACAGACGCAAACTTAAGGGGCTGACGCAATTTATTCACCTTTTACCTTTAGTCAACATTTATCAGCATAAAATTTCACTTACTTTAACAAAATGCATATGTATATAATACATGCATGCATACACACATACATAAGTATGAATGTATGTATCAAGGCAAAGATGCGATGTATATGAAAGAAGAACACTTTCACTATTCTAGAAAATTGCTGAGTAAATGAAATGAGAAGAAGGTTCATTATCTTTTCAAGCATGATCATCGCCGTCATCATCGTCATCATCATCGTCATCGATTGCTAAGTATTTTATAAATTTACTTATCCAAGCACGCGGGCGGATGCAAGCCATGTTGAATGTACATGTGCAGATATGTATGTGTGCGTGTCAGTGAGTGAGTATGTCTTCATGTGTTTAAAGGTAAATTAAGCTTCTTTCTCCCTCTCTGCGCGAGTGCGAGTGCGAGTTCCTCCCCCTATGCGTATAAGCGCACACCAAGTCTTCGCAGACAAGTGTTTTCCTCTGTTTTCGCGTAGTTCTTATGTTTTTTTTTTTTTTATGTTTATTAAATCTGTACCTTGAAAATTTGTTTTTCACTTCTCTCGGTATTCTAGACGATGAGTTGTTGTTTGGTTTGTAAATAAAGCGTTTCATTGTTATTTCTGCTGTGGCTGCGTTACCGCATTGCCGCATTGCCGCGTTGTTGCTCTTGTTGGCATTTATTAAGTGCAAGTAAAACAAACGTGAGAGGGTGATGTAAGCTTTCGCAAATAAAAGTAATGTAAAGAGTTTTTATGCTGGGAAAATGGTAACACAACAACAACAACAACAACAACAACACTATATACTATATTATGAAATTCATTTATAAACTTAGACGCATTGTTTGCGTGCATTTTTTTTTTTCTTTTTTACATTTGATTTTTTTTTTTTTCGTTTCTCGGTTTTTATTGAATTTGCATTGTTTAGAGCTCCAGTTGCCAATTAAAGCAAAATAATGGTTTTTGCAAATGAAGTTTTTGGTTAAATTTTTTAACGCAAAACAAACCAAAATCAAAACTTATGCATTTAATTGGAATTATTATCATCTCATAATTATCAGGGAACGTGAACAGCAGTTTCCCTTACCTTAATAATGGACGAGCAAAAATTATTGCTTGCGTGAATCAAAATGCATTTATTTTTCAATGCATTCTCCCCTAAAAGTACAACGTGTTTCGTCTTCTGAACTTTGACAGCGTGCGTTCGTATGAATTGTGTTGCGGCTTGACCTAAGAACTTTAAGGCATTCTTGATGTTTGCTACGAGTTTTTCGTTTCTTTAAAACTCTTTATGATGAATGTTTGGAAGGGGGGTAGATGTGTTGCATATTGAAAACACTTGATCAATTTATTATGCAACTCCTTGATAGTGATCATCCTCAGAAAGTTCCTGAGAGCCGGAGCATTATGCTGATGAAAAATGAAATCTTTCTTCGCTAAGCCAACTTTTCTTGGAAACTTTTCCTTTCACTTTATCAGGTGAAATCAGTTACTTTACTGTCTGATTTGAAAGTAGTTAATTACATTTTCCGAATCCATATCGTAATCCTCAAGCTTACGTAGCCGTACGAATTGATACCAGGAACTTATTCAACGACTAACGACCTGAAGAGATAGGCTCATGTTTTTCTAAGGCTAAGCGATATCTACAGGTATAAATCGGTTCGCTCAGTTAAAATGCAAATGCCTTCAAGGGAGATTAGATTTATACGAAAGGCTTTTTTGAAACAGCAAAAACGATCCTTCTCTTGCCAGTAACTATCTTAGACATAATGTATTTGTTAAGATCCCATGCCCAGGTTCAATTTAAATAACTCATGTACCATCGCAGCTGATCAGCGTAGCAAATCATTCATCGAACACATGGTAGAACGGAAAAATGTAAATCTGGCAATGTCGCTCAAAAGCGTAGACCACAAGCTAAGAGAAAAGTTTTTTTGACACGAAGGCGCTCGACGAACTGTTGTATTAAATATATTAGTTTTTCCTTATCGATATTACATTGAATATTAAATTAGTGTTTCCGTTATGTACCTTATAAATATTTTCAAGTTGACATAACTGTTTATTTACATAGTAATTGGTGGCGAGTTGACTTTACTGTTTTTGCCTATGGGCTACAGTAAAACGTTTTTTTACGCTGGCTTTAATTATGCATTTAATAAGAGAAGCACGTGTATAAGCTATGTCGATTTTTATCTATTTATTGTCCATTGTCAATCAATAAATCAATATCTTTACCATCTTGTGGATGACGAATGGTATAAGAAAAAAAAGCCATGTTTCACAAAAATCTTTTTCATATTCTGCACTGTTTGCGCTATACAGTAAGTACATTAAGTTTGGGCGTATGCCAAGTAACACCCAGAAGGACGTAGGATAGATCCATTTATTTTATACCCATCACTGAAAGAAGGTTCAGAGATCACACAAAGTATATATATATATATATATATATTTGATGAGCATCAAGTTCTTAATTGATCTAAGCATGTTCGTCTGCGAGTGTGGTCGTCTGTCCGTCTGTGTTATGTCTGTTGTAAACCTTCTCCTGCCCGCAAAAATAAATCTATTTACTTCAAATTTGGTAAAAACATTGCAAGCTCCTTCCCACAGGTTGGCGCTGAAGACAGGACAAATTTGTTGAAAGACATGCCTGCAGCACCACGTCAAGTAAAAACATCTCTGTTTTTTAAAAACAATAAAAAATTGGTTTTTTGCTCATTATCCATGAACCTTACTAGCAAATCTACAAAAATTTGAACGCCTATTTTCTAAGTAATGCTGCAGCATCTGTAAAGAAGTGGGAAAAAGTCAGCCACGCCTAGTCAATTTTGTAGTGTCATAATGCCGTTTTTTCTAAAACTTTGTAACGCACAGAAGGAAAATTCAAAAACCCCAATACAAAATGTAAATGCTTGGCAAGTTTCAAGTTCAGAATACATCTACGCATGCGCACTTGTTCTTTTGTCCGTTTGTTCGCCTGTGCAACTGTGTAGTATCTGTGGTAAACATTTTCCCCTTTGCAAAAATTAAGATATTGACCACAAATATATTAAAAGGTTTGAAAAGGATCTAAACGTTTCGAAGAAAACGCCTACAACGCGCTCACACGTCCATATACCAAAAGTTATGAGTAACTTTGCTTTCCCTGTCTTTTGCTTGCTGTTGTCAAAGTACAACCCATACACAATATATATTTTAAATTTGATTCTAAAAATGGAAAAAAATCAGCTGTGCCCACTCTATGTCATTGAGTAGGAAAATACAGTTCTTCTCCTTTTTTCTAAGATCACGGGTGTTAGGTATAACAAATTCGGTCATGATAGATCGGCTCGGATAAGTTGGCTGAAATATTCTCTTTGTCTATCTGTATGATATCTACTCGTCCATTCTTGCATTTAACTTACAGATCGCTGTTTTTGAAATGTTTTGCGAAAATTTGAATTGCGTTTTGGCCCAAGCACAAGTCCTATTAAAAATGGATCGCTTCGAGACAACTTTGAGGAGTAAACTCGATATGACCCCCTTTGGAAAAAGTTGTTACATGAAAAAAATTTGAAACTTCTGAAATTCCTTAAGAAAACTCCCTGAGTTGTACTATTTCGTCAAACTAAATTGTTGTCCATAATTTGTTCAATTTATTGAATCATCTCCTATATGAACGGTCTTACCAAAAGCAAGCCTTTATATGGTAAAAACAACCGCTCTTTAGTAATTTATGACGAAAGTTAGTCTATGATAGCAATTTGACATAAAAGTTCACCGTAGAAAATTTGAACTACATAGGTACATATTTTAGACTAAGCCGCTGGTAGGCGTTGTCATCAAATTTAAGATCTTGTATGGCAACATAATTTAGTTTCTCATTCTCTACAATGAAAATAGGTGAAGAATTTTCTTAAATATTGAACCTTCTTCATTCTTTAGTTCATTCATTAGCCTACTCCCCTGTAAGGATTGCCGTGGGTAATGGAAAGACATTACAACGCTTGGTAGTCGATTACGAAAATAAATCGAGAATTGAATGTATTTGAATGATATGTCTTCCACGACTTTTCAGTTGCCTTCTGAAAGTCTTTTCTTACGCCTGTGGCAGGGCACTTATTACTCGTTATTAAAATTTACATTTCGCTTAATCCTCCTTGCATCATCCCGTAGCCTTTGAACTCTTCCATCTGCCTTTCATTTTGGTCAGCTAGCTAAAGTATTTGTCTGATCGGTCTCGAATGTATATCGTATTCAGATAAATGCTCAAATTTTCTGAAATTTTATATTATTGAGCTAAAGTCCCCGCGGGCGATTTTATTTTCTAATAGTGCGCTTAATACGCTTGAGATGATCTTAGAATAATTTTGATCGATATTAGAGGTTTAATCTTGTAAAATTTCCCTTCTATCGTAATGCGTGCAAATACGCTTTCAATAACTTCTTTGAAAAACATTACAGACAGACTTCCCCTTGCATTTTCAATATATCAGCGAGTGCATCACACGCTTCACGTGCTAGTTAAAATACACGAATTGATTGATTAGTTAATAAGCTTAATTACTAAGCATTTAAAACGGATTGTGGTTGTGTGGATGAAGAGTGAAAAGACAATATAGCGAAGCAAAAGTTCTAAAATCAGGGAGATGTGCTGCGCTATTGCACGTATGTGTTTATTAAGCAGAAAATTAATGTGTGTGTGTGTGTGTGCAAACTGAATCCAGTCACAGACTAACGAACTCAAGCAGAGAGACGAAAAAAAAAAAAAAACGAAAAAAATGAAAAAAAGAGAACGAAGGAAAGAAGGCAAACTGAAAAAGTAGACAATGGAAAATTTTATTGAATTACAAGCACTTGATGTAGAAATTTTTTTTTTTCTTCTGCTTTGTGAATGGATTACAACAAGTAGCGGGAAAATGATTGTTAGGGGGTTTACTGCCAATCGAAAAGAAATAAGAAAAAGGTTTAATGCATCAATTTATTAAAATTTTAAATAATTCTCACGTGATTGCATTGTGTTGAACTTTTTCAGATATACCAGTGGTAAGCTTGGAATTGGGTACTAATTCGATGAACTCTACTCTACGGGAAGGTATTGATGTTTTCTTTGAATGCAATATCAAATCGAATCCTTGGATTAGTAAAGTTAGTTGGCGTCATAATGTAAGTCAAACATTTTTAATTTTATTTTATTATAATAATAATAATGAAAAAAAAAAAAAAAAAATTTCTAATAAACTATAAAGAGCATTAGATCAACTTGTATTAATATACTCTTAAAAGTTGTTCATCGTGTTAATTGTAAAGATAGCGATTTTAAACATTTACTTACAAAAAAAAAAAAAGAACACTTTTTCTATCTCATCCTATAGCAAATGTTTGCCAATGACGAACAAGAACTTAACTTCATTATTATCATCAGAATGTATATTTGTGTTTGTGTGCCATTCAGCGAAACATGAAGTTTGTCGAACAATTCCTTTCAAAGAAAATAAATATTTTTTCGATGCTGTATAAGAATTTTAGACATTTTTCATAGAATGTCGTAATTCAATTATGCTCTGATATAACAAATTATGTGCGTAATTGTCCAACTAAAACATTTCATCTCAAGATATTTTAGAAATTGATCAAGCATTTTTTTCCTTCTTCTTATTTAATCAAGCGAAACACTTTCAAGTTAGAAAATTTAATTTTATTCAATCGAAATGAATCCCTTTTCCTACGTGTTATTATTGAATTTAAATTGAAATTTATAAAAAAAATATTTTTATTGTAAGAATTTAAAACATATATATATGCATAACAATTGTATTCCGTCACAGTTAACCTAAAAATGAGAGAAAAAAGCAAAAAAACTAAATTTTCATGCTCCATCCCTTGGAGTCGGCGCGATTGAGTTTTTCGTTTCTCAAAATAGACGTTTATGTCGTATAAGAGTGTGGGCGTTGTAGGCGTGTCATTTGACAAGTTTAGGCCATTCCCAAATTCTTTTGCAAATTTTAAGGCGTTGTCATCAGTTTGCTTGCCACCGACACTACTACAGACGGACGGGCATGCGTAGATGGACTCTAAATCTGAAATTGTCAAGGAATTTATATAGTTTAAGGGGCTTTTAAACAAATTTCTTTCTTTTCACATTTTTATCCACTGTAGTATTGGGTCGGTGTGGTCCATTTTGGCAATGGTACTACACCGATAGAATATGCGTCCAAATGTTTGTACATTTATGTGCTAAAATGTGTAATGGTAAGCAACCCGATTTTTCACTCCTTTTGAAAAACAGAGATGCTATCACTTTACGTGATGGGTATAAATATTAAAAAATCTTTAAAGGACAAGGCCGGTTATCAAATACCCTACATAACCGCTGTTTACTACAAGCCATCATTTATTTTCATGATAAAATAACAAAACTTATACCTCCTTCCATTGCATTTAAGCATACTTTTCACGGTAAACCTTATATTGGAGCCATCCGAAAACGTGAACTGAATTAAACTGAATTTTGCAAAATTCATTTTCTTGTCAAAAATTTTATTATACTTCGTCCACTTTCGTCGTAAAGTACTAAAAAGTTGTCATGTACACGTGATGCGGTCTAAAAGTGGAATTATGCTGCGTAGTAGCTGCGTAATAGTGAAATTTCAAATTTAATTACTATCGTAAAACAATTTTCTTTATAAAATATTAAAAATTAGTGCTTTTCGCCATTGGAACCATATTACAGAAGAGACTTCAAAAAATTGGTCCCTCGCATCCAAATTTTTTGTATCAGTTTGGTATGTTGAAATCATATTCATCAGCGATTTTTGTCGAGAAATTGCGAATACTATAAAGACTTTTTCATTGTAAGACTTTCTGTGGGGAGTGGTCCTAAAAATGGTCCGATTCAATCCATCTTCAACCGTCCTTGTGTTTCAACCAAAATACATCCAAATATTTCAAAAATTGTCGCCGCACAGACGGACAGACGGACAAACAAACTGATCAAAACATAATTCAGAATCTTTTAGTATAGTTACACGTGGTACTGCTTTACCATCTTCTGCGTACTACATACATCGGCAGAAACTTAACATTAACAGTCCCATAGGTGATGGAGAGCACCTAAAACTTTGCAGTCGGTCAGGGTCCAAATACCTCAGACCAGTTTGTCGGATACAATTCTTGACCTATTTCCGCCATAATATATCACTGCTTAAAACTTGTTGTCATCAACAAACCTCTTATAGTATCGTCTCAGCTCACACTCACTAAATTTATATGTGAAAACCCTGTCCTTGCTTTTTTTGTATAAAGATTTAATTGTTAAAAAGTTTATCTGAGTTCAAAAAATAATTCTAGCCCATGCAAATGTCCAAAATATATTTAATGTTCTAATGCGTTATTCTTCACCGATGTTTGCCAAGAGATGTTATGAGTAGAACATCTTTTTCCACAAAAAAATCCATTTGTGACTCAAAGGCATTCAAAACTAGTGCGGAAGTTTTCCCAGAAGGACTTAAGGTAGAGGCGCCTTTTTAGTATACCTTTCGATTCAAATTGATTTTTTAAATCAATCCAAGCTTATCTGTCCGTCTGTCCATCTTATGTCTATTCATGTATTTTTGTGTCCAACCTGCAGATCGCAATTTTTCAGATATTTTAATAAAATTTAATACATCGACGTGCTTTCATCCAAAAACAAACGCTATTTATATTGGATCACTTCTTCGACCACTAAAGAAAAATACTGTAATTTATAGAATTACGGGATAAAAATCGCTTAGTAATAGTATTTCGTCATTCTAAATTAATGTTGAAACTTTGGATCTAATAAGATCATTTTTTGAATTCCTTGCTACAAAGCCCTTCCTACGAAAACTGACTCTTGATATGACATAAAGGTCTAATTTTCAATACTTCTTAATAAAAATTCGTTTATAAGAATAATTTGCCATAAAAATCAATGTTACCGAATTTGGACCACGTAGGTCTATGTTTTGGATCCCAACTTATATAAGGGTTCTAATGAAAAGTAGGGCATTATATGTCAAAATGGTATAATTTTAAATTATTTATGATGAAAATTTGTCCTTAGTAAACCAACCACAGGGAATTTGGATCACGTAGATCTATTTTTTATACCGCCCCACTATGGGTATTCTCACGGTGACAAAGCTTAATTTGTGGTTTTTTATGAAGGAAGCAACTAGAAAATAATAAAACCCTTGCTAACTAAATTTAGGCCACGTTAACGTTTGAGAATCCTCCAATATGAACATCTTAATGAAAATTATGCATTTACATCAAATGAATTTTTGATGTATTATTAGGAAGATCAGTGCATGACTGCATTAGGCGTAGTGGTGGAGGGGTATCCATACGTTTTCAGCACCTTTCGTCCATGAGCCAACAGATTTAGCAATTTTTACCAAAATATCTCGAATATTAGGATCCGCATGTGGAAAGCACAACACAAGCTCGCATAAACAGACAGGCAGATGAATTTAAATCGACGGGAAATAGTTCTGAATTGATTAATCTAATATCAAGTCGACGAACATCTGAACGTTTAACCATTCATGCAACATGAATATACACTTACGATAGGTAGTGTAGTGTGTAAAATTTTGTGCACGATCATTGCTTGACTGTATTAAACGACATGAGGATACCGACGAGGCTAGCAGTAACTGTATTTCCAAATTGATTATTTTCAAAAATATTATTATTATTATTTTAATTTTAGACTAATGAATTGAATTCTTAGACTAAAAAAAAAAAGAAGACATTGAGCACTAGCAACACAGGCTATCGGCTCTAATTTAAATAAATGTACATTAGATAATGAGCTTAGTAGTATTAATAATACGGACTATTAAGTCACTCAATATTTTGAATTTTCTCAATATTAAATGAGAACGAAAAATTGTCAACGACTGGTAGATAAGTTAAGTAGATCTACTTTCTATTGTTTTTCAAGCTTAACCCTGCATACGGCAGAAGTGTTATCGAACTATAACATATTCCTTAGTGTTTTTTTTTTTAAATTTGAAAGTTTTCGCAAAAGCTTTCAATTTGTTATTGACATTGTATATGTGTGTATAGATCTACGAATTACATATGCAGTGGTACGTGAAACATCTTGATGATTTTGTAACATCCAATTGCAGAGGTTGAAAGGTAGGCATAATTCTTCACTTATCTATAAGGATAACATTCGAAGCATTTAGAAGAATGTTGGAAAATCCGAGTTTAACATTTGGTATAACTTTGCGGAAGGAACTTGAAATCGTTCTTAGTATTATTGTTATAAAAAAACGAGTAACAACCGAATCTCGCATACCCATCACTATGTTTTTCGAATTCTCCAAGTTCCTTTTGCTGATATATATATATAGCTAGTATTGTTAAGCAAAAGTTAGTCGCTATGTCTATCATATCCATTTTAGAATTAATCCATTTTTGGGCAAATAATATACCTTTATTTGAGGAGCGTGCAAAAAAGATTGGCCTTGTTTGCCTTATGATAGATAAGCACAAAACGGTGAAAAGTGCAAAAATAATATTTAATCATTTGTAACTTGGCGTGGGCATGGCCAGTTGCCATTTGCGGACCTAAAGAGTAGACTGTTAGTAAATGTGAATAATTTCTTGGTTCTAAGTTTAATAATTTCCGAGTAAAAATCTAAAAATTTTTGTTGAAAAAAACCGAGTTACGTTCAGTTTACGCTCTATTGCGTATGATTCTGCTCTAATCGATTTGGCCCATTATCAATACCAACCTGCGTGCAAAAACTTCCAATATCTCTACAAAATTTGAAATTTGAGAATGGCAGCAACATACGCCACATAGGGACAGACAGATGTGGCTAAATCAAGTCAGAATTTCAAACCGATTAAGAATATATATATACTTTGTAGGATCTGTGAAGCTTCCTTTTGTTCGTTACATACATTATGTACAAAAAACAAAATGCGTATATCGCCATCTTACAGTGATGGGTATAAAAAGAAGAAAAACAGCAAAGAAACAAATGTTCTTATATAGCAGGCGTTGACATTATCTGTCACCTTAATCTATCCTAAATTTTAACTGACTCGCTGACACGCCCATAAGCTTAGCAAAAACAAAGAACGGCGCCATGGTTGCATGCAGAAGTTGGATGTGAAGAGTATCATAAATTCGTTCCGATGCTTGCGTAGATCTATCAATTTTTCTGATATTTATTATTATTATTATTTTTGACCGCAAGCAAGAGATTTTAATTAGAAGGAAAAAATATACAATAAAATTTAATCAACACATAAATTTTAAAATCATAGTAAATGAAAAATTGGTCTCGATAAAGGCAAACTTTCGTAGCAACCAATAAACAATTATAGCAAAAACAAAAATAATAGTCAGGCTAACCATTCTAACGAACTACTAATCAATTTTCTTTTATTCGTTCATGTTAGAGAGTAAGAAAATTAGAAAATACTTGCAAAAAAAAAGTGAAAAAATTCTTTGTTTTTATTGTTGTTTTTTGATAATTTTCATGGAGATATATTTTCTTTCTATATTTTTCTCCACCTACTTTTCACTTTTTCTCGAACTACAATAATGCAAACACAAACGCAAACACAAACACACACACACATACATGTACATACATGTACTTAACCAAACCAGGGCAATATATTAGAAAATAATATTGCCGAAGGTATCATAGTGGCGAACCAAAGTTTGGTCTTACAGAACGTTAGCCGAGCACGCAGCGGCATCTATACATGTGTAGGCAGTAATCCGGAGGGTGACGGTGAAAGCAATCCAGTGCATTTGGATATACGTTGTAAGTACTATTGTAAAAACGAGTTGAGTGCACAAATAGACAAACAAACAAACAAACAAATGTAAAGCTTGTAACGCTTTACTTTATGAAAGTAACCAAAAACAGAAAAAAAAAAAAAACAAAAACAAAAAACAAAATTCATGAGTTTTAAATGCATGATGATGCCCAAATGGAAGGAGTACGTTTGCTATGAACTCATATATATATGTGCGTATATTTGAAATGTATGCTTACAAAATATATTTGAGAAGCTACTTTCTTTCTCTCACTCTCGGAAGTACAAAAATGTTGACTTTAGTGTCGGATGTATGCCTCGAGAAAAAATATTTACTTACATGTAATATTTTTCATAAAATAATGCCAGGCATTGATGCATATAATGCAGTGAAAAGTTTTCCAAGTATATCAACATTTATATATATATATATATATGTGTGTACATATACATCCATTTTTATGTTTGAATAAGTAAGCTTGCATAGTAAATTAAATTTCTTAAGTTATTTGTAACACATCATCACAAAATTGCAATTGAGATGAGATATATTCTGTTCAAGAATAGAAAGAAGCCTTGCTGACCTTGATGACCGTAGTCTGAAGTTGAAATTTAAAAAGAAAATTTTTTTTTTTTGTTTTATACCATGCATATTGGGCGGCCACCCATGCACCCGACTTTGCCTCTGGTGCATTTAAATGTAATATTCATCATCACTTTTGTAGTGCTTTCCTATCGTCCGATGACCTGAGTAATGATGGTTTTCTGTTAGACCTTAGATTACCTTGTTCTATGCTTTCTTTACATAAAAACTTTTTTACTTTTTCTGGCAATCTTTTCTGGCACATACATATTCAAATTTTTTCCCTTCTGTATCTCAGAAAATTGGATATTATCGTACTCCATTTTCTTTAAGTCTTGATTCCTTTCTCTGCCATAATACTCAGATTATGTTAGATGACGTGTCTTTTCTACTTTGTTAACTGTTTCCATGTTATTATAGTCAAATGTGCATGTGAATGTTTTCCTGATCATTTCCTTGCTTTAAGACCCAAGGACTAATGATTGTCGTTAGACTTTTATTGAGTTACGCAAATCGTTTCAATTTCCACTCATTTTTTGGGAAAAAGTTGAGTCAAGTTTTACAGCGGGTGCATTACAATGCTTGCTGGAAATTGGCGGCATTTCATAGCTCCCCAATAAAGCTATTAGATGTCTGGAATGTGACATTATACTGAAATCCTAAAAACTATTGATCTCTGATTTGATACTCAAATAATGATTTTTTTTTTTTTTGCAATTAATTTTACATAGGGTTAAGCAAATTGCCGGCCTTTGCTCGGCCAATGACACTTTAGATGGTTTTTTTTTTTTTTTAATAACTATCCGGAAAGGCGTGTTATTGCCGTTAATACATTATTTTATATAGAAATACATTACACGCCTCAATCCATGCAGATTTTTTCATGTAATAGTTTGGTCTTGTTTTTTTTTTTTTTTTTTTTTTTTTTTTCTTTATTTGATAACTAATACACTTGCATTTGCATTTTGATATCAATCAAGTGCCTTAAAAGCCGGATTCTCGGTATACGAAAATAATCGAAAGAAAAAAGTAAAAAAAAATAAAAATAAAAAAAGGAAAAGAAAACCATATGAAAATAGTGAAAATCCTTAAGCAATTATCAATATCTCGGCGTACGTATGTATGTGCACATACAAAAAAAAAAAGGAATTATGTGTGCATTATAAAACTTTAATGCATAGGAATTGGTATGGATAGGCAAATGTACACACATGCATACAGAAAACCCGTATAAATCGAAAAATTATAAAGTTGTAGAACTACGACGAAAAGTACAGTAAAAATTGCATACAAACAATTACATGTTCATATGTGAATGCACAAGCATGAAGGCATGCATACGTATGGGCATACGAATAAAGTCCCTCTCTTATAATGGCATCGTATCTATAGATTCAAACTTTGCGTAGATGGGATGCGTTTACAGTCGACTCGAAGACAAGCTAACAAATTGCTTGTCACTCTTTTCTCCCCAGGCAAACGTACGGAAGCAAATAATCTCATATATATATATATATATATATATATATATATATGTACATATATATTTCTCATAAGCATTCCCATAGATATAGGAACATGTAATTTTCACAATGTTTGCGGCGTTACATTTTCGCAATAATGTTTACAACAATTGTCCTTCGCTTTATATAAGTTTGTATGCCTTTTATCTATATATATAAATATATATGTGTAAGTAAATTAATGTGTGTATAAAATAGTTTCTGCATATGCCAAAAGGCATAACTATTGAGTTATAATTTCGTCCAATATTGTGTACATACATTTTACTGAGTATAAGAGGTTTTCATGCATATCCATCCATTTGCTGTGTCCCCTGGCAAGGCAACCAAGAATAAACTAACCCAACAGATTAAGTTTTAAATGTTTATACTCGTAAGGCTCGAAACCGATTTGTATGCATTATTGAATACTTTAAAAACGTGCTTTATAAAATATGTGCAAAGTGCGAGAGAGGAAAATGTGCAAAAGAAAATAAATTTTCTAAATAAAAATTTTTTTGTTCTTTTTTTTTTTTTTTTTTTTGTTTTCGGCAAGATAATAAAATAGAACTTAAGCTCTTAACTGACAGCTGTGCTGAAAAATCGGAAATGTTTGAAAATCGAATAGCATCGATTAATGCTGCAAACATTTGAAGGTTTTTGAAAAGTGTCAGTTTTCAGCGACTAGACAGACTAAGATCGGATCTATTGAATCACACATTCATGTAAATTACATAGAGATTTTCCACATCTTATTACAGAACTAAGTGGATTAAAACACAATTGTATCGTATCGGGATGCTATCGAAACTTTTTCGCGTCCAAAAAGTATGCTTTAGGCTTTATGGCATAGTACAAAAAAAAAAAAAAAAATATCGTTTTTACATCAGAATATATTCAAAGCGTTACTTTTACTGTTCACTTCTCAGAAAATTTGCGATTGAATCATTGCGGATGACGAAAACTAGACACGAGATCATATTCGAAACGTGCAAAGAACATCATATTGATGCTAGTGAGAGGACTCGTTAATATCGACAAAATATTGTTCTCTGCTATATATATATATATTCTATTATTGTCCCTTGCATATGTTCATTTCATTCTGCGATATTATTGTGAACGAAGCAAGAAAACTCAGTAAGTCATCTGCCATTGATTTGCTGACTCACAGAAGAAGACGAGAAGAAATAAAGTATAATAAGTAGGCAATGTTAGCTAAAGGAAAAAGCACGGGTTTAACTTCAGTGTAAAGATCTGATAGACGCATTTCACTTGCAATAGTTGCGATAGTTTCTTTAATTTGACGCCGGAATCTCTTAAGTACTAAAAGGAACGATAGAACAGACGGTGCGCTAACAAAAAGCAATATGTCCTAATTACTTCCGTCAAATTCTAACCTAACATCAAACCACACGCTACACATAGCAACAGGGCTTATCTTTATTAAACACGAGAGAAATTAAATCAATTCTTCAATTATTAACTAAATATAGTCTTGATTTTGGTATTGAACAAACAAAAATTGAGTTAAATTTAATTGCTTAAGAAATTATCTAACTAACGGTTAATATCGGTTTTCACGGTTTTCTTCTTACTTGCCTTACATTTTATATTACGAGTGAAAAAAGTAACAAGTACACGGAATTTTATAGGCAAGAAAAACAAATGTTAAATTATTATACTTAAGATATTTAAAAAATAAAAATGTCCAAAGGAAATAACAATAATAATAAAGCTACGAATGGCAAAGTGACAAACAGTTAACATATAAAAGGGAAAGTAAAGGTCTTATTGCCTCAGAAGTCGGTGTTTATCGCCTCTATATTATGGTAATTTGGTGGTCTATTCGGTTCATATCATCTTTGTTTACATCATGATTGTCATGCATTTCTGCGGTGGTGCAGTTTGGGTGGTTAGTTGGCTTGGCGAAATATTCACTACACTTGGTTATGTTCACGCTAATGACGATTCGCATTCCGTTGAGAAATTTATTAAAAAATTACAAGCTCATAAGGAACCACCGCACTCGGGCAAAGGTTTCCACATGCCCATGCCGGACCACCTAATCACTGAAGCGGATGTTCATTTCCTACTATGGCTGATAACACATTTTGTGGTATTAGGTGTACGAAGGGTAGGTAATATTCGTAGTGAAAGTGGTGCTTTATGGCATTGCTTGCCCAATGCGACATTGTACATATGACGACACTTATATCATACTTGTAAACAATTTAACGGCAGCTCTTATAATTGGGAATGCTTACACACGCTATCGAAAAGTCACGGGATCTGTCAACGTTCCTTCCAATTCTCAACAGCCATCCTTATCAATTTCAATGCATGTGGCTGCTGCTTTTACTTCAACGGAACAGTTTGTCAGTGAGAAGTGCCTATTCATGCAGCTTTTCAAAATGTCTTGGCTTCAGCTTGGTGGACGGATATTAAATAAGATTCAAAAGTTATGTACACGTACGCCCAACGTCATGGTTGATATGAAATTTCCAAAGAAATACTAGAATGGATGGATGGCGATGGTGAACGTAATGCTTACAAAGTGTTACTGCTTCACTGACTGAAATAACTGCAACATATAGAAATAATATGCAAAAACTTTACATCCCGAAGCAGTTAAATATGAATCGCAACCATCCGCCGCCCAACAGCGTTTAAGAGGTTTATGACATTTTAAGTAAAATTAAATCAGCTCTCATTCCAAACAACAAGAAAATAGTTAATGACGAGAATAGAAACGATACTATTATGCTTTAAGTTGAGGACTGGAAATATATTTCGCACTTTTAGGCACCTCATCACAGCAGCTCTTATCTACGTTTATAGTATGTTAATAATCTTATCTGTTCCTTTTATCCTGTGTACTGTATTAATTTAAAATGACAAGGATACAAGTGCTACTGGAATAGTGTTCTTAAGAATAATTATCTATGATCACCTTAAGAAAATCAATCAACTGAACTTTTCTACCTGCGGCGAAACTGCGCCGGTTTAGTGAAGTTGTATACCCCTTTAAATGGTTTAAAACGAAACAAAAACGCTTGGAAGCAGTTAGACCACTGTCGCAACTTAAATTAAGAGGATTTAGAGATTTCGAAATTATTAGGCGTATGTTTACGTATTAAAAAAAGTACATATATTTTTTAAACAATGCACGGAAATGACAGTATCTTTGGCATTTTCGCGAGACACTATCAATTTGAGGGGCTCTGCAGCAAGTAGCGATCCTAGTCTAAACTGGAATTAAAAAAAAAAAATTTAATAATATAATCGGATCAAAATCGTATCCGTTCATTCAAAAATTTTTATTTTTTTCAATGGGTTAACAATCGCATAGTAACCCTATCCACAACCCTATGTTAACATTTTCATTGTCATTGTTATCCTTCCTATCCCTTGTATTTTTTCCATTTTTATATTCAATAAAAATACAAGTGAGAGGTTGGAGAAAAAGTTCTGTCGTATTGTAAGAAGGTAAGTAATTTTTTTTGTCCGAACGAATCCGAACGACTCACTTGCCAAATTTTTTTTTTTTTTGTGTATTTTTTTTTTTTTCTTCTGTATAATATAAAAAGAGTCTTTTTTACCGTTCATCATTTACTTGTGCTATTTAAAGTGAAAAACATATCAGTAAAAAAAGTGCATTTATGACAATGCATTTTGTATGAATTCCAAAAAGGCGGGCAACGGCATGCGGTTGCATGTAAAAATTTATGAGCGGTATTTGGAAAAGGTATTTTAAACGTTCGTACTTATCAATGATGATTTAGCTAAAATTTCGTTCCGGGGATCTGCGCCTCCAAGAAAGTGATCGATGATGATGTTTTGCGATCGATGTTGGAAAATAATCCACATTTAACAAACAGTTAGGCATTCATCACACAACTGTTGGCGAACACATTAAATCTCTTGGATTTGTGTTAAATGCAAAGTACATAAATAAAATACGACAGAATTTTTCCTCCAACCTATTAAATTATAATTAGAAAGTGTACATGCATATATACGCGCATACATAAATATGTATGATGGTATCTGTATGATATAGAAATAAATCATGTACTTACGCATCACTAATTGGGATGTAACTGGCGTTGTCATGAGAAAAATAGGCGACTAGAGATAATTTTTCATAAGAGTTGCATATATCGTACATCGAAAATATAGTTTACATTTTCGTTATCTCCGACAATAGGATATGTTTTCGTGTTTTCGACTATTTGGAGCGATTTTTTATTTATAAAATCATTAGTAATCCAAAGAAATATAAGCAATATTCTACTGCCTGATCGGTGTAGATAGAAACATCGTTCAAGTTTGCACGGTTAGCCTTGACAATAGAGGAAGATAGAGGAACGGGTGAAATAAGGTTTTTCAACGATTACTGGACACTTGCTGCTATATATGCATCTTATTAATGTTTCAAATCTAGCTGTTTCGCTTAGTTATTGTTTCATACATGAGTTATGAACGGACTGATTACATAGTTTTAGGATTTTTTGTCTGAGCCTTTCTGCGCAACCCAACACAACTTTTATTGCCATTTTGTGCGAGTTTTGAACGCTTTAAAGTATTAAAAGTGGATAAGTTAATCGGAAACTCATAACATGCATCCAGATTACTGATCACTGATTACTTTAAACGGCTATTAGGGGTGTATGGGAACAATCAAACATTATCAGTCTTTATTTTGTCTTGACTTAAAGCCTACTGAACGAGGGAATAGCTTTTTATGGCTTGAGCTCTTTACTTTAAGTATAAAGAAAATTTTCACTGTGAAGTTTTAAACTTAATCTCACTCACTTTTTTAAGAATGGAAATAAAGAAAATCTCGGGTAATGATACATTCGTTAATCCAAATACTTTATATAAAATGCAAAACATATTTTCGGACAACAAAAATTTTGTTATAACAAAATACTTTTTTCTTCGAACGTATCTTTAATAGTTTAATGAAACTTAGCTTATTTTTGACCGATACATGTTTTTGTACTTGAAACAGAATAACGCATCATGAGGTATTAAGAGACGACATTAACTGAAAGCATTTTTCGTCAAACAGGCGATTTTCTGTAGGGATTTTCTCTACAAAAACCACCATATCTACATAGTTTCTAGCTTAACATAGTGTGAATAACCAAACAAGCAACCAAGCAACCAAGCCATCTATCCATTCATTTATGCATATTCCATCTTTTCACTCTAAACAATTTTGCAGTTTTTTTTTTTTTTTTTTTTTTTTTTTTTAATTTTGTCTTTCATTTATTTGATAGTTGCACCCGTATGCCGGCAGAGCCAACGTTTTATGTATAGTACGGGACGACATGAAACGGTTAAAATCGCCTGTGAGATTGAAGCAAATCCAGCGGAAGCAGCATACGTGTGGAAATTCAATGCAACACTTGGCGAGACAATCGATATACCGGCATCTCTAGTAGTCATCGATCGTGGACGCAGCATAGCACATTATACACCGATGACAGAAAATGTAAGTATCCTTCGTTTTGCTTGTACATACTTATGGATGAATGAATGAACGAATAAATGAATGAATGAATGAATGTACCTTAAAAGGAAATATAAAGAAAATTGAAAAATGATGAACGAGCTGACAATGAATACTCTTTTCACTGCATATGGATAACAACGGCTGTTTATTTCTGATTTGTGCTTGTTGTCGACTAAATTTCGAAAACTTAACACTGACCGTGTATGACATGAGGCGAACATCCTTCCCTGATTGTGTATTAAAGCTTATGCTGTCACCGAATGGTGTGACTCTTGTCTGTTTACTTGCTGGCCATTTGTCTTCCATAGAGAGCAAAAAGGCAAATCTTTGAAAAATTTCACTTGTCATGTTGTATTCTCATTATGTTAGTGCTTATACATACACATACACACAAGCGCGCATTTGTTAACATGCCTATTACTTTTCTAGGCTAAAAAGTGATAAATCATCGAATTTGAAAATCAATTCGCATAATTTTGCAAATGAGTTGAAGTTTTTAGCTTTTATTACATCCACAAAGTTATCGTTTCAGTTGCTCTTCGCGTGTGCACGTTGTGCTCTACGCAAATGAATCTCCTTACATATATGTTTCTATATACATATACATATACATATATATATATATATATATGTGTAAAAGGTATGTGAGCGTTTTATTGCAAGTTTGACTAAAGCTTATCGCATATCACTTGGTATTGCATTGACATTGTGTTCAACGTTACAGGATTACGGAACGTTATTATGTTGGGCCAGTAATGAAATCGGAGATCAAAGTGAGCCTTGCGTTTATACCATTACCCCAGCAGGTAAGTAATTATGTTACGTTATATATATATATGTTTTCTTGTGTATCACATACCGGGCATGAGCTTGTCGCAGATTTCACCTGCTCTTAAAGCTATTAACTATCGCACAGGAAATTAAAATCTAAATATTTATAAAAATATAAAAGTCCCACAATTGAAATACATGCAGCAGCTATCCTTAGAATGACAATCAAGTGCATTTTAACTGAATTAAATCGTCAAACTATAAAACTTCCACTTGAAAATGTCCGATTATCGCATATCAAGTTACGACTTGGAAATTAAATGCTCTGGAAATCCTGTTTTTCTCTCCTACATTAATTCGTAGAAAAGATTTTAAAATTAAATTAATTATAACTACGATAAATACATAAGCTTCAGTGGCATTTGGCATATGATAGAGAGTAAGAGCCTATCAAAATGTTTAGTTGATCAATACATTCTATAATTGACTAGTAGTCAGCACTACAGCGAAGTTTTACGTGTGAGCTGCAAACCATAGAAAGGTGAAAGTTTGAATTGGTACTGATCCGACCACTTCGTATGACCCACTCTCCTCTACTTCGCAGACAAATTTTTAAGCATGTTTTCTGGCATAAATGCAATCGATGCAGGATAGTGTAGATAGCATGCTATGGTGTGTAATAAAACGCAATACCATACTATATGATATAATAACTAACAGTGATGACATAGCTTAAGCCTACAGTCCTTGAGATACTATAGAATAAATTGTGATTTAGGATAAAAGAATAATTTCGTGGCGTTTTTGATCAAAACTTAAGCACGTGTTTCTTATTTTCCGAATCTATGCCAATCTGATCGATAGCACTTGCTATAGACTCTCAGAATCTTAACCCTCTACCGGAACGTTGAAGTCAATCTTGTTTAGTAGGAATGGTGATCTTACCTTCTACGAGCTATTCAGCACAAAACTCTTAGCATCAACCCCTTTTTTTGCTAGAAAGGGTAGATGAATTAAAAACAGTTTGTTTTTACATGTAAAGAGTCTAACGTTCGGATCTCATTCAAGAAGAAGAATTTCTTCTGCCATGATTCAAATTTGTCCGAGTTGCAATAAATAAGTACGCGACCAAAGTACGCTGGCAGAGAGGCTCTTGCTTTGCTAATAATATGTAAGTTGAAGTGTCTCCAGCATGTGATCGCAAATGAAATACGATGAACTTATTCCAACACGTTGATTGAAAGAAAATCCGAACTAACAAAGTCAAACCCACTTACATTAATGGACGAGTGAAACAGTTTCTCATCATTTGCATACATTATTATGTGGGAGGCACTTATGGTAGATAGGTGATCATGCGCAAAGAGAATAAAAAAGAGAGAGAGGACCCAAACGGCTGTCTTGAAAATCACCTAACCTAACCGCAATGTCAACAGATATGAATAGCACAGAATAGCAATTTTGAGCGCGATCTACTAAATATGACCCAAACTAGTTTATAAGCACCTTCGGGAAACTAATCTTGAATATTTTCAATGATTGGCTCTGTCGGCGTAAATCATGTCAGTCTGTTTGCCGCTTGGCACCACTTTGCCATGAACAAAAGCATGCTGTGGAGAGAAACTAATGATAAAATTGACTGCTTCAGCTTTCTGCCGTGCTTAACTATACCCCTATAGCTGTTCACATGGCCTTCGCTTCCTTTCTTTTAAAGCGGAATGGCGTGGATCCATTTTCAAATTTCTGGAAACGTACCCGTAGATAGTTCCAAATTAAAAATCGATGCAAGAGTTCTTGCAAGATGTGCAGCACAATATATGAAGGTGCACGAGGCAACTCTATCAGACCGAAATTGACCACCATGTGGATTAATACAGTAATCTCGACCTATTGTATAAACACAACTTAAAAGTTACAATTATCGAGTGCTACGTTTGGCCATCTTAGTAACCTAACAATGTAAAGCTAAACCCGAACTTCTTTAGAGGTTATTTGCAGATTTAAAATCAAGCTACGTTTACAGCGAACATCAACAATCGGCGCAATGCTTCCCAATCTTATTCATTAGTATGCGGATGTGTAGAAATTCAACTCATTGTTGATTTTAAGTAATTAGTCGGACAGCGATTAGAAGATTAAGGAAAAGCTAATTTATTTTAAAGGCCGTATTTCTATTCTCAAGAGAGGGGGGGGGGGCCGTTTGCATCGATTAAGAACGTATGTACTTGCCATGCATAGCGACTATTCATTCAATTTGCTATCAATCTTGTAATGGGCATTAAAATGATAGCAAACATGTGCGTGTTCATGTTCGTGTCTAACGATACATTCAAATGAATAAATATATAATGCATAGATGCATTCGTATTTATATACAGGTGAACCAGATCCTTTGATAAATTGCACTTTGCTCAATCAAACTTCGACTGGCTTTCAAATTGAGTGTATGGAAGGCTTTGATGGCGGTCTGCAGCAAGACTTTATTATGGAAGTTTATGTAAATGGTACAACACGGCATCCGAAAATCTACAAATCAAAGTGAGTATAACGGCAACAAGGACCAGCGCCACTAATATTAAAAGCAATAGTATAACGATACCAAGCGATAGCATTTTTTTTTTTTTTTTTTTTTTTTCTAAACCAATCGAAAATGTGGCTAATATGAAATGTTCTCTCATTTTTTTTTTTTTTTTTTTCATCCGTTTTTGAAAACATGCGGCTGTTACATAAATGTATGCAAATTGCGTTTTGAATCTACTCATACGGTATTGCGTCGGGCAACTAGTACACCATACTTTGAGGTACGTGGCTTAATACCGGGAGCGGGTTACAATGTTTTCCTTATCGCTCATAACAGCAAAGGACGCAGTAATGCTACCATATTGCAAGTGTACACATTAAAGGATCCCGAAAAACAAACCGGTACGTGTCTACAACGAAAGCGAGACATTTATTCATTTATTTTTTCATTTATTTATTATTATTTTGTTTTTTTTTTTTTTTTGCCTTCATTTATGAATGAATTTTCTTTCAGTTTTGTTTAGCTTTTATTTCAAAAAAATTTTTCTTTAAATAAATTTTTCAGTTATAATAACCTACAAAAAATCCTTTGTTAACACAACCATTGAAAGAATATCAAATGATTTCCTAATTCCTTTAAATATAACACACACTCAGACTAGTAAAAAGCAAAGTAAGATAAATAAAATTTTTTTATAATTTAATAAAAATAATTTAATTTAATTAATAATTATTAAAAGATTTAATTATGAATGCAATTTTGCTAATAAACAAATAAACATTATTTAAAAATACTTTTTAAAAATTTGAATCTGAATATCTGCGACTTAGATCTGTCTTTGGCTTATGCTCCCGTGATAGAGGATATACGCCCTTTTCTGGGCATATTGGTGGGCATTGTGGGCAGCATTGTCTTAGTGGCATTGATTATTGTGATAATTGTGCGTATGCGCGGTTCTACCGGACGTGACCGCAATAATTACACTCATGGCCATACTACAACAACTACCACAACCACGACAGCGACAACGCAGGGACATCGTCATAATAATACGGGCTTGAATGGTTTACATAACGGCAGTGACATACACGTGGGGAGGGGTAATTGCCATGTTACAAGCAGTTTGGATAGCATTGACAAAAATCCCGATATTATACCACATGGTAAGTGTCAATGCGAAAGGAAACTAACAGTAACAACAAAAATTATATCAGTTGTTATGGCTGGCGATACTTATGAATAAAAAAAAAAAAAAAAAAACAAATATCATTTTCAGATGGTCACGACGAAGACGATGAATGGACTACCTCGACTATACATAATCATGCTTATGCTACGGCTGCATTAGCCGAACAAAATGCTGTCATCACATCATCAACATATGATCACATAGTACCTACGTATGCGGTGGTCGATAAAAAATCCCAACAACAGCATATGCAGCAGTTACAACAACAACAACAGCAACAACAGCAACAACAACAACAGACGGCTGCACATCATCACCCATACGTTCAGTATAAAACTCTGATGCCCATTAATAAAATGGCAGCTTATGGCGGCCAGCAACAGCAGCATAAACAACAACAACAACAACAACAAGCAAATAAGGTAAACTCGTTTATACTTTGGTTAAGTGGTTCGCATGAACTTCACGCGCTTGCATTTATTATTAAAAAGTCGATTGTAGCACAGGAAAAATGCTTTAGAAAAGCAACTGCTTTGAAATTGAGGAAGTAATTTTTGACTTTATCAAACATTTACATTGGTACACAGATATGCACAAACACGCGCATGCAAGCGCTCACTCACGCAGCCTTAGATAGGGTAGACAAATGCATATTGTTTTATATGATTTTAAATTAAAAGCTAGTTCCATGTAGTTCCAATATACTCCTATGTGGTTTGCCAAACACACAGACACACACATATATATATATATATATACAAAAGCATTTTACAGAAAAACACAAGCGTACAATTCCAAAGGAGAGTAACGTAATTTCAATATTAGGCATTATAAACAGCAACCTGAGCATAGAGTGCGCACATGTGAAACCATATTGTCGTCGTTTGTTAAGTCTGTCATACATGCACTTGTTTGACTATATGTTGCTGTGTATCAGATCAACTCTGCGGTTTGCCATCACTGACTTAACTTTACTTTACCCGTTTAGATATAAACTTTACATACACATGTACATATACATGTTGTTCTGCGTACACGACACACACAGTCCTGTTCATATTTTGAGGCCATAATTGATAGCCACTGTAATCACTTTTGTATGGTGTGGTTACTGGTCGGTTATCTATTTGACTGTAACACTAATAAGCTTTACCGACACATACCTGCACGGTTTCGTATGAAACATGATGTTAGGAACGGTACTCGTTTATTTGGTTTAGTTTATAATCGAACTGTGTAACCATATTGTCATTGAATGACTCCTTGCTATCTTTTTAAGAGATATTGATTAATAATTTTAAATTAAACCTCACACTCAATCAATCAGAAATCAGAGCGTAATCAAGATCAAAGGGGAAGAAAAATGAAAAAAATGTTTGCATGAAAATTACTTGGCTTTTGACGAATATTCGATACTCTATAGTTTACAGCAAAATATTCAATTTATTGCTGCTTATGTGTACTACATAAAAGCGGCAGTAAATAGCAGTAACTTCTTGAGTCTGTCCCTTCACTAAAGTAGCCTGCTTTAATAAAAACTTGAAAATTTTGATAGATATTTTGGAAGGAAAACGCATTACATGTGATTGTGCTCCAGCTAGAAACGCACGCTGGAAACTCAAGATCATAATAGCGAACTGGAAAATGGAAAAATATTCTGAACCTTTGACCGCGAAAAGATTTCGTTACGAAATCGCTTACGTTAAAGTGTTTTTCAGGTTATCATGCTCCTTGATGATTTCTATAATTAAGAAAATCTATTTAGGATTGAAATCAAGCAGAACCCTGGGACACTTCTTTCAATCAGCTTTTGACCTATGCATCTGGGCAGGGGTGCAGACATCGAGAAACATGTACAATATCCATCCGTATATGCGGGGGAAATTATATCAGAATTACCTCCTCTGATTCCTATATCCGTCCTGTGTTAAGGCATTTTAATGAAAACTGATACAACGACGAGCTTTGACTCAGAGAAGAACTCTGTTGAAAATGTTTCGGATTGGATCGGCTTTTCAGTTCACTTCCCAGGTAATGTCTTATTGTAAAAAGTCGTTATATGAACAACTGTAGGGTAACACAAAGTACTTAATGGTGTGCTGTAGCCCAGTACAGTGTCTTTACTTCATTCGTTGTTTATTCATTGATATAAAATTTTTATGTACCAGTAGCAAAGGCGGAAGACGTATTAGGAAGGCAAGAATCTTTCATTTCTTCTAGATATTCCGTTCGATGCATGACTCTATTAAATATGGTCTGTTGCTCTTAAATAATCCATTATGGCAGTGAAAGAAAGTCATGCAAACAAGATTACTATCATTTTCCGAGATTAGACATGTTTTACTAGATTATAGATATGGACGAATACATTGTGTAGTGGAGTGTATACTCAATTCACATACTCACAAGCGTAACACATAAAGATTCTTTTATTCTTATTCTATGTCAATGCATTTCTAAATTTAAACAAAAGATATTCGCATTAACTTGCAGTCTATTGACTAACGAATGCGCGTACATGGTCACAGTGGAAAAAACTTGAATTGAACAAGTCAACAGCTGTGTTTACCTCATTCGTTTTTGTGCAAGCGCTTGCAAGTGAATGACTGCAATAAGACAAAAAGTCGGCAAAAGCTTTTTCTATGCTGCTAGCTGATGAATAATAGGGAAACAGACTTGAATTGTTGTCAATCGATTTTGACCGTGAACGACGCTGCGTGCAATAATCTATCGGACAATCTATTAACTTCTCATCAGAATTGGGTCAAATACGAACAAATAGAGACTCGAAGTTTACCTTTTAAATTATCAGTTGCCGTCACAAGTTAGGTTTACCGAAGTACTAGAAACTTGCAAAAAGTTTGAAGCGGTATTGTGTGCTGGAATAAGAAAACATATTGATTTCTTAATCACACGATTAAGGGAAGTAATGTTGAAATAAAATTCGAAAAAATTACAAAATTGTTTACCTGTGCACGCTTTCTTATTGAACTCAAATAGGTTTAAGATACTGCTACGAAAATCGAACAAATAACTCTGCACAAAAGCTAATCGCTTTTGTAGGAAACGAAATTCTTAAAACATAAAAATCAAATACAGATCTATGATGTTTCACCCGCCAGCGAAACTGGCTACGGGCGAAAAGATTCACAACAATTGATAATTTTGTTGCAAAAGGATATATAAGCTGAGTACTCACGAACCGCAATATTCGAACAAACACGAGGCACGTAACGCGTAGATAATTCATTTGCAAGTAGATTTTCTAAAGATTGTAAGTAAAATCTATGCCGTCCTAGCAATCACAATCCAGGGATACGAACTTAATTCTAGAAAGCTTCGAGCAGAAACGTAAAATCGGCAAATAAATTTTTACCTCATAATATTTCGATACTTTCGATATCTTTTTTAAAGTAGCATAAATGCATTTCAAAACTCCAAACACGGACTTTTTTAGAGTTGAAGGCTTTACTCATCAGCAATCTTAACAACCTTCGTTTCATAATAAAAATAAAAATGATTGCATTGCAATCGTGCATCAATATATATATCGATCCTGTCTGGAATCGAAAATGGAATCTTCCGATCCGTAGTCAGACGCGTTATCCATTGCGCCACGGGACCGTCCTGCCCGGCTGCCAGCAAATTGTATCACTTAAATAAATTTACAAAATAACAATTTCGAGAAAGCCGTTGCACGCCGTCGATATATCGTAGGTTATGCAATAGAATATTGAAATAGAATTTCAGAAAGAGTTGTCCCCCTACCATTAACGCGACAATTGTTGACGTCATTTTTTTATTTCACCCGGATATATGCAACTGAACGATTTGAGATATGATTCAACTTTTGTTATAGCAACCGATCCACAATCTTTTTCTAAATCGATTAAAAATTATATGTCCGCTTGTCCGTCTGATGTATACAAAGCGAGCTATATACAGAGAAGATCATCCGAAGAGTGCAAGAACATCCGAAGAGTGCAAGAACATCCGAAGTACAACACTTTCCTATTAACGGGCAAAATGGAGGGCAAATCACACAGTTGAAGGTTGTACTTCCGGAGGTATTCTACCAGTTTTTCTTACCCGGCAAACTCGCTTAGCAGCAGTTCGCAATATAGTATGACAGCTAGTTTCCGTTGATTGAATGAATTTTGAATATAAAAATATAAGCATTAGGCAAATGGAAAATTCTCGTTAATTATTGGTAAAACCAAGTGAATGCTTGTGGAATTATCAGAAACATTGGAAACAAGATTTATTCATAAGCAGTGCAAAGTTTTTCTCTACCTATTAATTACGATCTATTTTACCTAATGCACGCAAGGTATTTGTTTTCAAACAAATTTCAACCAAGTTACGATGCATATTCATCAACTTGAAAATGAATGAATGGAATTAATGCAACATGCATTACGTCATACATATGTTAAATGTAAATTTGGTAAGCACTTTTATTAAGCAAACACAATTTCAGAAATCAATTAGTGACCAGGCATAGCTAATGCTTTTATAAACTGATATTAGAATACGTACGCCTATGTAAGAGGCATTGTAATGCATTGAATGCATTAGAATCGAAAGCACATTAAACGATGGTATTTGCGAAGAGTATTACTTCAACTGTATAGCATTATTTTTATTTTGCATTTATATTTTAGACTGATTTAACACATGCCGATTTAATGGTCACGGCGGCTGGTCAACAACGTCTGGCTGCATCCTATTGCAGTGCAACACTGGGACGCCATCGACAAGGTGACTTGAAACGTGCTGAGCCTAACATATACTCTCAGGTAATTCCCATGATTGATAATGACTGTGTGGACGAAACATCTGCCGGAAGGGGAGGTCACGATAATGATAATGATAATGATAATTTTGGAATGAAAAGAAGCGTTACATTCATGTCAGGCTATTCAACCAAAGTGTAGTGAAACTTTTACAAAAACAAAAAATGTGTGTAATAAAATAACAATACTTAAGAGAAAAATTCAACGTTTAATTATTCAAGTTACATAAGATGAAAAAAAAAAAAACAAAATTTCATTAAAAAATGTATCAACACTTAAGTTACTACTTAGGGTTGATATTGCATTGGCCTCATTGCGTTCATTGTATGTACATATCATGCATATGGATTGATATCAAATTAATATATTACATAACGAGGATTTTCGAGGAATCATTTCAACAAACAAATTGAGTGGTAATCATATCAATAATTCCATAAAAAAATTTATGCGACAACAACCCTTTGAATAACTGTATTAATAAATGCTATTTCATATTTCAATCATTTGTATATGCATACAAGTAAATGTGGGTCAATGCCAGCCACGCATGAGCTCCTTTAACGAGTTTCTCTCAAAAATCAAATGAATGTAAAAAAAAAAGAATTAATTTTTCATACTTCAATCATTTGCAAAATGTGGCATCAGAATGCCCGTATGTTATATAGGCAGCCATAAAATACTTTCATTCATTCATATATGCATATAAGCATTATGGCCAGTAAGCCACATGCATACACAAAATCCTCTCCTCTTCTCCAAAATCCCAACTCTTAGAACAACATCACTTTAATTTGCCACAGTTTACTTTCACGTTCGTAATACTGTTATGTATGTATATTTTGTTGTATCCGTGCATATAAAACTCATGCATATGAATGCGTTTTTCTGGTGCGATGGGTATAACCGTGCACCTACATTCCACATATTCATAGGCGCATACATCTTGTACATATATTTGTTTGCAGATTGATCTCGCCCATCATCCCATGTACTCGACGAGTCCTATGTTTGCTACGAATACCATCACTGGTGTCACAATGTCACATCCATCACAATTGGCCACTTTTACACCGCCACCATCCATATTCGCACACAAGGTGCTGCACACAAACACACAAACCACTCAGCAACAGCAACAGCAGATACAACACTCAGGCAAAAGCGGCGGTGGCGGAAGTGGTGATGTCGGTCTATTGCAAACAGCCGTAGGAGGTGTTTGCATAGCCGGCATACCAGCCACTCATCATAATACACAATCCATCATCTGCACGTCGCAGAAGAGACCACAATCGCCTACAGCAGTGCCGGTGGCTGCAGCAGCCTCTTCCTCGTCTTCGTCCTTATCAGCAACAACGTCAGCTTCGAATTCCGCACTGCCATCTTCAGCGACACTATGCGGAGGGGGCGTCGGTAGTGGTGGTGGTGTACTTGCTCTACAAGGCAATGGTAATGTAGTCGGTGCCAACAGTATGGGAATCTCAGGTGTCTATGCTAACGAAGCGGTAAATATAGCACAATTTTTTTTTTATTTTTTTATTTTTTTTTTTTATTCATACCTTTTTTTTTTTTTTTTTTTTTTTTTTGTTCAAACCTTTGTACACCCGAATAAGTATATGAATGTGATAAACATAAACCACTTCGACATGAATTGAGTTGTCTGAAAATTCTGGCAAAAACGAAAGGATTGCAATGCTTTTAGTCAAGCGAACAAAATGTAAAAAATACGCATTTTTTACAGCGACAGTAAAAAATATCTTCTCGCAAAGCGAAACTAGATTAGACACTTAAACGTAGTAAGGCATAAGAGCGGTATAATCTGATTTTAAAAAAATTGCATAAGCAAGCTACGCCTTGGGGATCTTTAAAAAAACATGATGATAATTTTCCAGTTAGCTGCGTGCAATCTGAGTGCAATAGTCATAATGTAGTTATAAACCGAATTGGGTTGCATTGCTTTACTGCCGAACTGTTGCAACTAACTAAACAAATTTCTTCTGTTGGCATGTTTTCCATTATGCTTTCCTTAGGCTAATTTTTGAAGTCTACTAACACAATCTCTTATTTCATTTAAGTGCATCGACCAAATTTTGAATAAAAGCAAAGCGTTTACGGTACTTTCAAAGTGAACCTTTTGGGTCGGTGTATACAAACTGATATTATCGTCTCAGGGAATGAATCAACGTAGATAGTCACTTCTTTTTATTGTTTTAAAGATTCTAGCCAACAGACAATTGTATACCAAACAAAAGCTAAATCGCATTGATGTTACCGTTCTGAGTAGTTTAGCTTTGTCAGAGAAAAATTTCCTTTAAAAGGCTTCAACAGCAAGTTAGTCTTTCTTGTATAATACAAGGGTAGTACATAGCCAAATATTGCGACATTTTTTATAATTAAATTGGATTTAGTGTCATATACGTAGCACTACTAATGAGAACGAATCAAAAGCCCGATAAAAACTTGTCGAAAGTTACATCAGCATAAAGGTGAATAAAACTTACCGATGAAAATCCGTTGTAGTATGCCTAATAAAAAGATACAACAGAGTGTGAAATACCTTTTTCGGATCTCATCTGGAAATTTCGATGGTTGGTCAACCCTTGAAAAAGTCGATAAAATTATCCAAAAATTTAAACATTAGCAAATCCTCACCGAAACGCAACGAATTCAAACAAATTTTTGAAGTAAATCGTTATTGGCGATGAACATGGTTCGAAAACATGGGAACGTGGTTCCAAAAAATGGAATTTTTAAAGAAATGTGAACATGTGACTTGGGAACTAGAACTGACGCCATGTAAGGTTACGCTACATATGAGGCGGAATTGTGTGTGTGTGTGTGCATTGTTAGGTTCTAGACTGATTCTAAACCTTACTCCTAGCTTTTAAGCAGATTGATTGCCTCCAAGCCTTAGGCCGATGATCTGCCTTTTTTTCCGATTTTACATTATTTTCATACTTCTTCATATAGTTTCTTCTTCTTTCACGGTTAAAGCATTGATTACATTTACTATCGGATTAATGTTAATCTTGTTTTATTAAAGCTTTCGAAGTTATATAAAGAAAATTCAGTTCCTTAGCAACTATTGATAATGTTTTGTTTTTTTTATTTTCTTTTCAATTTTGAATTTTATGAAATTGGTAGACGACAAGCTCAACAGGACTGTTGAAATCGGTACCCGAAGAGATATCCTATCATCATCAGCATCATCAAATGAATGGCGAAAAGGTTCTAATTACTCAAGATCGTAATCATGTAACGCGTTTCTGACGATAAATTCAGGCGATCGCCATAAAACCACAAAATGAACCTCATGCCGCTACTACTGCTACCACAGCAACAACTACAAGATTAAGAAGAAGAATTATGTCATTAGAATTGTAAGTTTAAATCAACAGCAACAACAACAACAACAAAAACACAAAGAAAAAAAAAAACAAACAAAAAAAAATAAATAAATAAATAAATACAAAATAAAGCAAGAATCAGAAACTTTGAATTTATAAAGAAGCGAAGAGAAGAGACCGACCACGTGAATTAATATCAAAAGTTTTATTAAACTAAAAGCAGAAACAAAACAAAACAAACCAAAAAAAAAAAAAAAAACAAATAAAAAAAAATAAAGAAAAAAAATTGAGTGAAACTTGCGACCTAAACAAAAATGACTATAATGGTATGTGATGTGAAAGCAAAAATAAAGAAAATTAGCGAAAAAAAATAAAAAAATAAAAATAAAAAACAAAAGCATCTAAAGGGAACTAAACACAAAAACATGAATTAATTCAATACAAACAATAACGAACAGTGTTAACTAAGTCACAAAACCTACCCATCCACTGTACAGTGAAACATTTCCAACAACTAACTGCCTAAATGAAATGAGAAAGCATTTAAGTTACAAAACACTTACAATTACATACACAAAACACGAAAAAGTCTAAAGAACCGAAGGAATTAAAGACAGCATGTGTTTCTTTTACCTCTTTTTTCTTCTCCTTTTTTTTTTCTTTTTTATATAAATTTATATATATATATATATAATATATATTATATAATATATATAATATATGAAATCTTAAAAAATTAAAAACCAGTTCTGGTTAAATCATTAACCCTGGTTGTGTAAAATATGAAAATAACATGAAAAAATGAGAAATGAACAAAAAAAAAAAAAAAAAAAAAAAATTTTAATAAAAAATAAAATTTTGTTTAAATATTAACTAAAAAAGAACTTCCGTTTCTTTTTTTCTTTTTTTTTTTTTTTTGTTCTTTACTATCAAGTTTTTTTTCTTTTCTATTTTGTTCTCTTTTAAGTTAAAATTCTTAACAAATGTAATTAAATGTTAAACATGAAAAACTAAATAATCTAATAATTCATGCAATTTCCTTCTCTTTTTTGTCTTCTTATTCTTATTCTTCTTCTTATCTAAGGAAACAAGAATTTGTTTATAGAGAAGAAAGTAGAAATGAAAAAAATGCCAGCTAAGAAAATCTTTTTCTAAAGAGAATAATATTTCGCTTAATAAAAACCGTGTTGGATTTTACGTTCAATCCTTAAAAGCACCGTTATACACAATATTAATTTACAGGACATATTAAGTTGCAAGCAATTCCATTAGAAACTTTTTCCAAACTAAGCACAGTCGTAAAGGCCGCCTTTCTTCTTAAGCTCAGCAAATAAACATTCAATCTTTCCATTTACTTTAATTTCATTGAAATTAAGAAGAAAAAAAAAGAAGAAGAAAAAGCTCCATAAATCGCAAAATAATATATTCATCAATAAGATGTTTCTATTGCCCTTGAGACGAATTTAAAATGCATTACATATCAACTTCATGTAATGCTAGCTCTTCGCCGACAAGGGTTACTTACTCCATTTAAGTGGACATAAACGTCGGTGCTTATATTTATAAACATGAACTTCTCTACCATATTTTTTGCGAAAAAGACCAGACTTAACTAATGCATTGTAGAAGAATGTGCAAAAAATGCTTAGAATGTGAAGAACATTTAGTGTAGGCTACGCTTTATTGAATTCGCAATGTCTGCCTGAGATAAAATTTTCAATAAACAATTTTTCGGAAAATGTCCAAAAAAATTCGTTACTGGAGAGTTATTTTTTCTCTTCATATTTCGAATTCTTCCTTCAGTACTTTGGGAAGTCTATCTTTGGGAAGTAACAGCTTAAGTTCCTACCGTCTACTTTTCATCTTTGTCTGATACAGTATCTGGTGTCCCTTTGAGCGTATTTAAGTTAACTTGAAAACACTCCCAAACACACTATACACTAGTGCAAGTTATAAAGCCAAAAGCGGATGGAAAGGAACATATCTATAATACATTTGAAAACACCATGTAATACAAGTACAACAATATCTTTCAAATACGATACTGAAAAGGAGCAGTTGGGTGCTTTCTCCTAACTGGCTTTAAACACCTTTTATTGGTCAAAAACTGAACTTTTTCATTTAAGTACTGGCCAGTCACGCAGAAAGCATTTCTAAAAAATGAAAAAAAAAAAAAAACCAAATTCCAAGTTTACTTAGGACACACTTGTTGCAAAGTTTAATAATCGAAAATATTCACCATCAATATCTACGACCTTTGAAAGGAGAAATAATCATCAAATCATTTTCAAATATATTCAACTTTTCTGCTAAACTGATCTGTTAATCCATATCGATCATTACCATACGCTAAGGTCTGGAGAATAACCCGCAAGAAGGAGAAGCTCGCCATCCAAGTTGAAAATCACTTACTCGGTTGCTGTTTCTGCATGCATATGATCGCCGACATCAAACGAAATCAGTTTTCTAAATACTTTATATGCTTCTCTCAAAAGCGTTGTTTAGTTGAACTAGATGGACTTTTCTGCGGTCAGTTGTGACCGTTTCGCCGGGATGTACAAGTTCGTAATAAACAATTCATATCCAATGCCATCGAATGCACAGTAGCGTTTTCAAGGAATGAACAGGGATTTCCGAAATCATCCCGGATCAATCGATCGTTTACATCATTTAGGATTCTCGTGCATTTTGAAGAAGATAATAATTCTTTTCCTTGCGCCTTATGTGAGCAAATATTAGTTCTATGATTTTTCTTCATTTCAGCTCGTAAGCAACTCATTTTTCCCTTTGTACGCAATCAAATTGAATTTGTTGGCTGACTTATTCCTAACTACACAGCAAGCTCTCTTCGAGTTTGTGCTTGATCTTCCTCTAGCAAACTTTGAATAGGTTCATTTAACATTTTTGACGGCCCGCGTCTTTAACACTAAGCTACTTCCTAACTGTTTCAATCTTAATCTTAATCCTAGAGCAAAATCAATCATATCAGCAGCTTCAGCTTCCAGTTTAAAAAAGAGTAGCTTGCAGGCCCGTGAATGCTTTTTGTTAGCTTTTTTTTCAAAGCTTGTAAATAAGAAGAAATTAGTGCGTGCGGTTTATTTTATAAAACATCCAGTTTGAACACAAACTACTCTTTTATGCACGTAGGACTTTCCTATTCTTCTATGCTCATGCTCGCACTAATTTGCATCGCTTGGATTTTTTCATTTTTTAATATTTTTCGAAATTAATTGTGTTTTCAATATGAAGATATATATGTCCTCAATGGGCCTCTCGAATATCCTTATTCTACTTACTATTTTTCCTTCCATCACGATAGTGTTCCTCCTTCAAGTAGAGAACTGCGAATATCATCAATTATTTAAAATCTCGCTGATTATAAATCGAAAAATTTGAAGTCCTTGTTTGGATCGGCAAGGATTTCAGGTCATAATTAAAATTTTTCATCAAATGGACATAAGGAATACCTTACACGAAAAAGAAGGTTCTTCTTCTCGTACATAAAAAACGTTAAAGCGTTCGATTTATTTTGAGTGTTAACCCAAGAAATGTTTTTGGCAATTTTTGTAGTCTCCGATGGGAGAAGAAAGTTTATATATTATGCTGTGCTTCGGTACTTAAATTGAAATGAATTGCATTTAAATTAAAATATTAATTACATTTATTATTTATTTAATGCTAATGAAAAATATCTAAACGTATTTTCGTATTTTTATTTAATTATTTGTTTGCTTTTTCTTTGTTTACTGTTTGCATATAAGCTTTTACGCAGTAATTGGCAAATAAATGGTAAGGACGAAACGCATGGGTGCGAATTGAAATGTTTATTGAAGAGATATATCGAATATAGAGAAGTTCATTCGGTGTTAATCGAATTATTAAACGAATATGTCACACCACAAGAATCGAATAAATGATTAAAGAAAGCCGTTTGAAATAATTTAATAAATGAATTTTTTTTTTTTTTTTTTCATAAATTGTCACGTAAAAGGATAGACATCTTTGATGAAAGCTAAAGACATTTTTGATAAAATTAATCCGATTTTCCAAGTTAGTCAGATATATGGACTTTGAAATTAAAAAAAGGAAAAAAAATTACTAAACCAATTATTTACGTAAGCCTCGGACTTATATAAAAAGCTAGACTGGAAGCTAATACAAATACTTTAATATAAAATAAATATATATTTGTATGCGAGATCTCTTTAAACCCTATCAAGATTAGTTTACTAGGATATTTTTCGACTTGAGTGCCTCTCTGCCTTTCAACAATAACAACTGTGACAGGAAGGTGCATTAATCTTCTTACAGCACTGGCTACTTTCGAAACTCTCGTTCAACGAGTTAAGAGAATAGATGTAATATGGATCAACGCAAAGTTTGGCAGCGAGTAATACAGTTCTGCCCATCTATCGGCTCGTTTACTCTATGCTCGTCACTAGGGCGAAGCTAGAAATTTCATCATTTTGTCGAAAATGTTCCACTTTTGCAGGCATATGTCAGTCGTGTAGTTATAAGGCATTTCAAGGCAGTTATAACTTTTTTAGATATATATACATTTTTTTACCCCTCATATATTATTGTTTGTTTTTTTCACTAAATTCTATTAGTTGTGTAAACGTGGATAATAAATTGTAAAAATTTAATTGCAGATAAACAAAAAAATAATAAATAGCAAATAATTAAGAAAATCATGTTCGAATATAGGGGAAATGTTTGACATTCCTACGGACAGTCGCTCCCGTTTTTATAAATTAATAAATTACTAAGTCAAACAAAATGCCTTTATGCAAAAAGTGTTCTCTGTCACACATAAAATATAAATAATTTTATCTATTAGCAAAATTCCGAGATTGTCGCTACAATGCTTCGAATTTATCGTTTCTCCTTTTTTCAAGTCGTTTCATATTTCAAGAAATTTTCGAATTCCCATTTGCCTAAAACTTTTTGCTAAAAATCTATTAAAAGTTTTGTGTTTTCTTCCCCTTAGGTTTCTAATATTTTATTGCGAATATGTTTCTAAGTGCTTCACAATTACTTTCAGATCGAAATTATCAGATAAGTTAAAAATTCCTTTGCCAATTCTTGCTTTT